CTTGAATTTTTATTTGTAAAGTTATGTAGGTATATTAGAGTTAAGCCTGATGAGATCTAATTGAAAGCACAATATCACTGTTCGCTTAAATGTGTTGTTCTAAATATTGGAGATTTGTAGCTACTCTCATATTGATTTGATAAGTGAATAGAACTTAGACGTAACAGTCTAGGATGACTCAGTGGATGGTTACTAAACATGAGGAAGGTTTGAGTTCAGTTCCTGGTCGATACACTCTTAAACCAAGCCTCGCCTAGTTTACCAGCTGATAGTATGCCCTGAAAAACGGGAAGATTGAGTGTGAAACTAACAACCCCATCCAGTAGCTACATAGTCATTCAAAACTTCTTAGCTTAAAGGTTGAAGACTTATGTTCCACTTTGAACGCAAGGAGTAAAACAACGTCTGACAGATTATGATTTTTTCAACTATCTAATGGTAACATATTCGTCTGGTAGTCAAACAGTCCTTGGTTGGATCCTATGTCGTTGATTCTTTACTTCTAAGGAATCATCGATGGAAACGATACAGATGTTATCATGAAAGAACACTTGTGGCTTTTATTGGTTCAGTAAATAATGGCAATCTGTTAAAGGTTCGATCACGGGTTGATATCATTTGCGTAAACACTGGATAGCCAGGGAGCACAGAACAGTTGTTTCGTCCCTAGTTTAAGGAGCTTCATCAGTAGTCACCCACTCTGGGATTCAAACCCAGGTCCTCCCGTTTACTAGTCAGGCTCACAGACCATTCAGGCACTGGGACCCGATCTAAGCGCCCATGAATCCCAACTTCTGTCAGCTAATGTCATAGACGAATAAATGATCTCTAACCTGACTCGATGACAACATATACGGGTTGAAATTTCTCTTAATGGGACCATCTGGGATAGATACAAGGATAAAATCTGGGCACTGTGGTAGAATATAATTCAATTATGGAGAAAATTGATTTTGATAAAGTCACACAGTTCAAGCACTATTTACTGATGACCACGTTTCGAGCACAATTTATTGCCACTCATAATTATATCAAGTTAATCACATAACTTTATTGTTTCGCATCTGGGATAGACTTGGATTCACAGACAGCTGGTGAATCAGTGAATATGAGTGAAGGTTATAACAAAAATAGTCTTACAGAACACAAAAACAAGTTTTATCGTGGTAAATAAAACATGAAACGGCTAACACTTAATAATCAATAAGAATGAAATATATTCCGAAAGAAATGAAGGACCGGGATATATGTATATGTCTGTATAACTGAAATGATGGAGCTGTGTACCTCAGATGGGTATTTTTCATGCTGTTGTGTTCTTTGAGCTGGATGTCTTAATAATAATAATGCTATATTCTGGACAGTATTTAAATAATATACAGAAAATTCAGCCGAGTTTATTGCTTAATATTTTCCCTTCGTACAGTATCCTCAAGTAAGACATTAATTTAATTGGTGGATGGTGATTAGCAGTGGAATTCACCATGACGCACATTTCGTCCTATTTAGGACTCGTCAACTGGATGCACCTGCATTCTCCAGTGAGTGATGATGTTTCCAGGGAGGGTCGAACCCGTGTGTTCATAGTTTCAAACGCCAAAGCGTTATCCACTAGACCACTAGGGCCACGAGAGCCACCCCACTTCTTGTGCAACGGGTCATATTAATTATTTAATTGAATTTTAGATTTTTCCATCGATTGATTGCACTGAAGTGCTCGGTCTCAGGTTGACATGTCTGTTGCCTTCTTGTGCAGATGCTTCGACAATGCCTGGGCTTGTAATTACAGTTTAATTGGTGGATGATGACTTGAGTAATGCAGGTACACCCAGTTGACGAGTCCCAAATAGGACGAAATTCGCATCCTGGATTCCACTGCTAGTCACCATCCATCAATTAAATTCTAAATACATGCCCAGACATCGTCGAAGCATCTTCAGAAGAAGCCGACATGTCAACCTAAGACCGAGCACTTCGGTACAATCAGTCGACGGGAAAACCTAAAAAATTTCAATTAAATAAAACATTGATTGCCAGTATATCCTGTGACACAATGCTCTCTTAGCTGAAACACAAACCACTCCATATGATATATCTGCTTTGTCCCCTTCAATAAATTCACGATATCGATCTAGTTGAAAGCCAATTGTAAGTAGTTCAGAAGCACATTTTGAGACCCAAAGACATAAGTGAATAACAGTCATCTCATGTATTGGAACATGTTGCCACGCACAGTCACGCCATTCCTCAAGTTTAGTGAGGACTTTGGAATCAGAAGCTTGTAAACATTTTAAATTCGCACAAGAGTAGATAATACCACTAATCGATTAAAACAATGCAAACGAACGAAAATATATGCAATAGAGAGATGGAAGTTTTTAGTAGCCCAAGTTTTAAGCAGGTCACCTGGTTCATAGTTCCTCTTAACAACAGCTTTAGAGCTATCTTCAGTATGAAGTGACCTATGAGAATTCTACATGAGTGAATTATGCATCTTGCCAGATGACCTTGGTTCTAGCTGGCAGTCTTAGAGGATATTCTTAGGATTGTATTCACTTGCATTCATATTGATCGTCCTGTTGACCTAATATTTGACCTTTTGTTTGTGTATCTCATTCTTCATTGATTTATGAATTTGATAAATAAGTTGATGATTGAAGGCAATCGGCAGGACGCCTTGCTTGACCTAGGTTTCGTTCTAGTTGGTATTCACCAGTCAGCAAGGGGTATCTGCAATCTTGAAGGAACAGCTCATGCCCCACCTCCTGAGATTAGAACTCGCGTCACCACTGAGCTATTTGGGCTGGCGATCTAACTCTTGTAGGACTGTATTGGATACTTTGATTGGTCACTAGTAACAAGTGCGATGTGTCTAGTCCTTTCTTTCCTGCAGACTGAAGTCTATCAGTCAGGTCTTGCAATGTGGCCACCATGCCACTAGGTAGCTCGTCATCACGGTACACATTGATTTGATGATATTAGATGGTTGGAGACAATCGGCAGGATGCCTTGTTTGACCTAGGTTTCGTTCTAGTTGGTACATTTGTTGAAAATTGTCTGAAGAAATGTATGTTAAATTCACTGTCAGGAATTAGTAAACACCCTAGATGGTTATTCGAAAGTTACTGAATTCATTTGATGATATTAGATAGTTGGAGGCAATCAGCAGGACGCCTTGCTCGATCCAGGGTTTCGTCCTGGTTGGTACTCACCAGTCAGCAAGGCGTATCTGCAACTTTGAAGGAACAGCTCATGTCCCTCCTTCTGAGATTCGAAGCCGCATCACTCACTGCTGCAGTCAGAGACGTTACCACTGAGCTATGGTGGCCATGTTGCAAACCTGACTGACAGAATTCAGTCTGTACGAAAGAAATGACTAGACACATCACACTGAATAGCTCAGTTGTAACGTCTCTGACTGCAGCAGTGAGTGATGCGGCTTCGAATCTCAGAAGGAGGGACATGAGCTGTTCCTTCAAAGTTGCAGATACGCCTTGCTGACTGGTGAGTACCAACCAGGACGAAACCCTGGATCGAGCAAGGCGTCCTGCTGATTGCCTCCAACTATCTAATATCATCAAATGAATTCAGTAACTTTCGAATAACCATCTAGGGTGTTTACTAATTCCTGACAGTGAAATTTAACATACATTTCTTCAGACAATTTTCAACAAATGTACCAACTAGAACGAAACCTAGGTCAAACAAGGCATCCTGCCGATTGTCTCCAACCATCTAATATCATCAAATCAATGTGTACCGTGATGACGAGCTACCTAGTGGCATGGTGGCCACATTGCAAATCTGACCAGACTGATAGACTTCAGTCTGCAGGAAAGAAAGGACTAGACACATCACACTAGTTACTAGTGTCCAATCAAAGAATTTGATAAATATCCACATGTCTATTAATAGCAAACTGATTTAAATATCAAGTGTCTTGGATCTCAGTTACATCCCTCATGTTTCCCTTTTGTAGGGATGTTCATAGATGTCCACACAAACTGATATGAATAAATGCATGTCATGTCCATTGATCGATAATTCATGTCCATGGATGTGAAGACGAAATAGACATCCACTTCAGATGTATGGCTGAATTAAGCACTGATAAATTTCCAAAATAACAAAAAATATTTAAATACAAATTCAATGAAATGAAATGAGCAATAATCATTCAAATGAGAGAATATTTGAATGGATTAATGTTTACCACTGGGTTCATGGAAATTTGATTAATTTCACTGCATGTTTCGCCATGAACTGACACCACTCAGGAGGTCATTGATGACCAGTAGTGACCCACTACCCACAAAGTGATAGGACTCAAGGCATCCAGGTCACAAAGTGAACACATCTACCACTCAGTCATTGAGTTGGATATTCTCTAGTTCTGATGAGAAATCGTATAGGGCGGTGTTTGCGAAAAAACCTCGTTGAGGTGATACTGTAGTGGAATTTAGAAGAATGTGCACTTCAGTGGGCACTCTATTTCAACCTGTTGTCTGAATAATGAATGTGCTCTAACGATTCACCTGCTCACTCCGTTAAAATGCGTACTGTTGAAGAGTCCCAAACTAGGACGAAACAGCTGTCCACTACTCCCAGGTTTTCCAGTGGTTCTCTAACTGATGTTAGCTGATGATGAAAACCTTCAACCAATCAAACACAATCCCTACAAAACCAATATTTCAAAATATCAGTCAATTAGTGAGATTGTTTGATTCCTTGAACATAGAACGGACAATAACTTCTTCAACAGTGAAAATGTATCCTAGCGATGATTGCCAGAGATCTGGGCTTACGCACATCTAGGTGGCAGTACCTATGCCTATGACACAGCAATACAATTGTAGTATAGACTATCGGTAATTTAACTAGATGCCATGCCTCTTCATAACCTGAGGGATTTGATGGTTCAAACTTTTGTCTTATTTAAAATGAATGCATTTCATTCAGCATTTTAAAAATTTCTATCAATTAATTATATAAATTTCAAGGTGAAAAGAATGATAATAAAAATAATACTAATTTAATATACGTAAATGGCAAAGAGGAGAATAACATTTTGGAGAATAAATCGGCAATAAACCAATCCACAAATAAAACTATGCGTAAGTGCGCGGTTATCAAAATATTTGAACTTGAGAATATGTCAATTGAGAAAGATTAACTTTTACTTCATGTAATGGTATTTTACATATTCATGAAAACAATTGTCCAGACTTTTATTATTATTGTTGTTCCCTTGGGTTCCTAGTGGAACATAGGGCTTCAAATACACGTCTCCACTTGCTTCTGTCTTTTGCTGTACTTTTCACCTGCATCCATGTTAGTCCATACTGTTTCAGCTCCTCATCACACGATCTCCTCCATGTCACCCTTGCACTGACGTCCCACTCGCCGCTTCCCTTTCGGGTTCCACTCGACCACTGGCCTGACGCGCGATGCCACCCAGCGACCTCCTCAGCCAGTGAGTGTCCAATCCATATCCACTTTCTCCTGCATATTTGTTGAGCGATTGGTTCTTGTTTTGTTTCTTTGTTCCCATAGTTTCTAGTTGGTGATTCTTTTCGGCCATCTGATCTTGAGTATAGAGCCAGCGAAGACAGTTGTTGATAAAGGTCTGCAACAGGCTGTTGGAAATATTCTTTGTGACCCGCCGCCAAGTTTCTGATCCATCCGTATAGAAGAACTGACTGACTTGACGTTTGTATTGAAAATCCGAATTTTCCAGACTTTTGGCTGTTTTAAAATGATTCTGACTCTCTCTCTCTTTCAATGTATGTCTGATATGAGTCTAACTGGGCGCACCACTGATTAGCTCAGAGCTAAACGAGCAAGAAACTTTTCTAAGGTGTTCTGATTACTTCCATCTGACTGATAAGTACTCATGTTTTGACATGGTTGGTCTCCAGTTATTATTCAGACCACTTAGCATCATATTTTCAATTGATTTATCCGACTTCAAAGAATATTCAACGAAGTTAAAATGCCATAGCCTAGCGCCAATATCTTTCACAAGTTGACCTTCAAGAACCGGTCAGATACAGAGAATGCGCAATGAGAGGACAGAGACAAGCTCTGTAGGCTATAAAATACCCGGTGGACCCAATTAAACAAAATAATATCATTTACAAAATACCCTGCAATGACTGTGTGTTAAGTCAACTACATAGGTCAAACTAGTAGGTCGGGAGTAATCAGATTGTCGGAACATAAGAATTTAGATAAAATAAGAATGGTTGACCCCACCAGAGAAGATAAGTAAATTAGAAAAAAGCTCATCACTGCATTGCACTGCATGCATTAACATACAACCACACAGTAGAGTGGGAGAGGGTTAAAATTCTAAGAAGTAATCTATGTAGGTGGAGATACAGAGAGATTGATTACTGAATCCTGACTGGTTCATCAAGTCTACACCCAACACAACACATGCAACAGAAATGGCTCAACGCAAATACCAGAGATATGCATGGACGACATTATTACCACCAGTCAGTCAAATCAGAAGAGGATAATAAATAATCTCAAAATTCTATTTCAATTCAAGCAAATCACAACATTCTAACAAGTTACTTATTTATTTGACTATAAAATCACTCGTCTTATTTCTCATCTGATTGTATTTGATGAATAACACTCAAATTATTATTTCTCGTTGTCCAAGGTCACTGTGGTTTTGCTATGATGGCTTAACATTGCCGAATATTCTTGTTTTTTTAATTTCTCATCAAAGCTGTCCAATTAAATAATCTTCTAAAAGGTCATTGAAAACGCCAATCGAAGTCAGTTATTCCTGTAACGTGCGTCGGTGGCACAGCGGTAGAATGCTCGCCAACCGCACATATTGTCCGGGGTTCAGTCTCTGGCCGACACACTACCACACCTAGCTAAAGCCAGTAATGAGACTTGTAAAGAGGGAAAGTTGGGCATGAGGCTGGCAGCCCCTTTCCCCCGTGAAAATAAACACCACTACTACTGAAACTTCAAACCTCTAGCTTGACCCCCCCCCTATGTTCTACTGGGAAAGTAAAGGAATAAAAATTTTAAAAAATATTCCTGTAACAGAGAAGATAAGAATTTGTAATGGAATGTTAATTAGCAGTTTGATACACACATATAGGGAAATTGTGTATGTGTGCGTGCCTGATATTAAAATCGTTATTTGCACTGGTCCTCGGTGTTGTGCTTCTTCTGCCCTTCATACTGTGTTTCTTTGGCTTCTTTTCGTGTCTCCCACATTTTGTTACAGTGCTGCTTGTTCAGTTCCTCTTTTTGACGTCAAATCTATCTCTCCGTCATATGACATTTCTATGCCGACGAACATCTCTCTGTATACTATTGATACATCTTGTCAATAGTACACGCCACATTCCTACCGGCTAATAGCAAAATTACATCACAAACGCATAGCTTCATTTTTAAGCGCCTTATTCGTATACATAGTTCTGTATCAGTAGAAAGGTTTCCGGTTACGTCTTCTGTCCACAGCGGAAGCTCGTGCAATACGGAAAACTCCGAATCATCTACTGGAAATTACTAGTCCAATCCTTTTTGTTACCATGGCCTTGGTTAATTATTTTTTGAGTTGTATAATATTTTGGCAATGTAATCCATCTTTCTTTTTTCAAACTCTTGACTTTGAAACATACTTTATGCATATTTGAGTCTCTCTTCTTCTCCTACTCTTCTAAAGGACATTTCAGTTGGTAAGACTTTACACAGAACTTTGAGCAAGCGTATCACCACAGGATGGAGTTTCCTGGAGATCTAGTGAGAAGTTGTGACCACTGATGTCGATGCAGTCACGTGTGAGGATGGATTTTCCACTGATGACATTGGTTGAGGTTGCGCTAAATCATGAATTGGTAGAAGTTAGAATCCATGGCCTGGCTGGCCATTGAATCGGGTCCCAGTGGCTGAATAGTATACGAGCTTGCCTTGTAACCGGAAGATCCTGTGTTCGAACCTCCTGGGGTGGGTACGTACTGCTAGAGTCTTGACCTGGCTACAAGTCTGCCCACATGCTTTCATCTCCTCTTCACATTACCTCCTCCAAGTCACACTCACCCTTGCACTGACGACCAACTCGCCACTTCCCTTTCGGGTTCCACTCGAGTGATGGCTTGTCTAGTGATGTCACTTGATGGATTGTTTCCTCAGAGTATGGCCAGCCAATCCATCTCCATTTCTTCCTGCCTATTTGTTGAACAATCGGTTCCTGCTCGGTTGGTTCACTCATTGCCAGAGATCTCTGTTGCTGATCTTTTCTGGCCAGCTGGCCATCTGATCTTGAGTATTGAGTGAAGACAACTGTTGATGAAGGTCTGTAGTTTGTTTGAGATGCTCTTTATGACGTGCAGTGCAAGTCTCTGATCCGTATGGTGAGTAGCACTGACTTCACATTGGAGTTGATGCTGTTGACCTCCACACAGACTTGAGAGTAGTGAAAGCTTTGCTTGCTACACGTCATAGACCTACTAAAACTGATAAAGATTTAGAATCTCTTCGACTAATCTACCTTTCATATCCATCACTACGTCGTATTCTAGTCTCTTACTTCAAGGAGAAACATTACTTCTATGCTCCTCCTCTATATCACTTGGTTCTTCCTTACTTTTATTGATCTCTGACATATATAACCTAGAAAACAATCAATCTAATTCCCACAAACAAAACAATTCAATATATATATTTACATAAGACAAATAACCTTAGCTCACGAGACCAAGAAGTGATAGTGTTGTTTAAATAATTGAAATTAATGTGATCACCTGTTGAACAGATTTGTCATGTAATTAACATGATATAAACTCATAATTCTCGACTAAATGTTAACTTACAATTAATTTCCTTATTTATTTTTGACTTTTGATTAGAATCAAGAAGTCATGCATTTTCTATTGTCTTCATAAGGAAATCAAAAAATATTCAATAAATTGGTTTGAGTTTTGAAATATAATTTTTGTGTCAAACTTGAACACTGTGGTAGTGTATGAATACAATTCCACATTAATTTGTTTATTAGATAATTATATATCACACAGTGAAACAGTGTCACTGTTTACTGCAGGACAAAGTTTCCAACACAATTTATTACTGTTCATATTCATATCATCAATTATAATCACACGACTTCGAAACTTGAGTTTTATAGTTTTCTTTGTTTTCTCCTGTTTGTCGTCGTTGGGATAGTAGAATTTTCCAAATATCCGGTTGGAGAGGTGTTGAATCATTCCCATTACACGTGTTTGCAATTGATTCGATAAACAAAGCTTCTGTTATCAATCTCTCCTTCCCTCCACCCTATCACATTGGATTTCAAAACTGTCATCTTATCCCATCCATGCTATTGTATGATTGTGTGTAATTGCATGTAGTGAGTGCTATCTACGGCTGAACTATTCTCCAGATTTCTTATCTTATTCGGGTCAACTAATCTAGATTTTGCTGCTAGGTTTTTATGCTCCACTAGTCTGACTGCACCTGTTGTACTACTCTGACCTATGTATTTGACCTGACAATCATTGTGGGCGAGGCATTAGATAAACTGAATTGTTTTGTTTTATTGGCTCCATAGGAGGGATCCTTTAACCGACAAAGCATGTTTCTAATTGAGTTTGTGGGTGGGTTGAATGAGAGTCACTTTTATTCCTGCCTACCCAGTTAAGAATTCTGTGTAAGGTTTCCGAGGTTCCTTCCTTGTATGAAATTACTACTGATGATTTAGATTCCTTATGGTTGGTGTTGTCATTATACTGCGCATGTTTGACATGCATGTCGTCATTAATACAACTGTTATTATTATCACTATCACTACTATCATTAGTTATTTTATTTTTACATTTCCCTACATACTTTCTGATTAATTTATCAGGGTAATTATTAAGTTTAAAATCTTCTTTACTATGCCTCACTTCCTGTCTTAGATTTCCCTTGGTACAACTTGGTTTTTGTGCTCTATTACTTAAACATTTCATCAATCCTATTTTTACTGATATGGGATGATCGGAAATCCAATACGGTGAAGGTGTCATCTACATACCTCCACCATATTTTTGGGATGAGGTTGGACGTTTCAATAGCTATGTTTTCCCACCTATCCATGAATATATCTGCCACAACTGGGGATATTGGTGACCCCATGGCAACTCCCTCAGTTTGTTTGTATATTTCCGCTCGGTTTGAGTTTCGAATACTCACTAGCTACCAAATCTTTGAAAAAACTATTCACTTAGACAGTGTAATTACTGACAACTGACTGCGAAACTATAGACATTACTAAGTTCAACTATTCACTTCCACACAAACACAGAAATACAGATTAAAATTAAACATAACTTGAATAGTTATCAACCATCACCGATAGTTCAAATATTTTAAGGACAGGACTCCAGGTGAACATAGACAAGACGGAGGTTATGAAAATAACCAACCAACAACAACAACAACAGCAACATCCAGTGCCAATCACCATCAACGGGAGGGATTTGAAAGAGGTTACTTCATTCACATTATGTAGGGAGCATTGTCTCAACTACAGGAATTCGGAACGGACGAGGATGTCAAATCGAGCGAGAATCGGGAAGGCGAGAAACACATTCATCAACCTGAAACCAATCTGGAAATCCTCCGCCGTCACTCAGCCTGAATCAACAACAAAGTGATTCGGATTTTCAATACAAAAGTCAAGTCAGTCAGTTCTTCTATACGGATGGATCAGAAACTTGGCGGCGGGTCACAAAGAATATTTCCAACAGCCTGTTGCAGACCTTTATCAACAACTGTCTTCGCTGGCTCTATACTGAAGATCAGATGGCCGGAAAGAAGAAGAACCAACAAGAAACTATGGGAACAAACAAACAAAACAAGAACCAATCGGCCAACAAATATGCAGGAGAAAGTGGAGATGGATTGGACACTAACTGGCTGAGGAGGCCGTTGGGTGACATCGCACGTCAGGCCAGTGCTCGAGTGGAACCCGAAAGGGAAGCGATGGCGAGTGGTACGTCCAAGGGTGACATGGAGGAAATTGTGTGAAGAGGAATTGAAACAGTATGGACTAACATGGATGCAGGTGAAAAGTACAGCAGAAGACAGAAACAAGTGGAGACGTGTAGTTGAAGCCCTATGTTCCACTAGGAACCCAAGGGAACAATAATAATAATAAAAACACAAAATGGAAATTTATGGAGAATTCAGTTGATTTTAAAATAGATTTAATTGTTAGTTTTAGTTAAAGAGCCATAGAAAATCTGGAAGTACTGGATAGCTGCCATGTTTGGTATTAGAACTCTATAGCTGAACCCATCCCTCAGACCCCGTTTGAGATAAAACCCAGGTTAGCAGGTATATATGTTACCAGAAGGTTCTAGGTTCAATTCCACGTAGATTTTATATGTGAGCACTGATGAAGAGTCTTAAAATGGGATGAAATAGCTATTTTTACTATTCCCTGGTCTTGTACGCATCTTTAAATGATGTCAGTTTATAATGGAATCTAATGTTTATGTGATTTTTCAAGTCTTACCTCATATAGAAGCAGTTTTAATTTAATACAATCGAATTTAGTGAATACGTAATTTCATCTAAACTGAGTATTGCATAACCAAGAACACCCTCCGTCATATCAATCTCAGAGTGGAAATTTGACTAGCAGTGTGTAAAACAACTTTGTCTACATGATGGAATGTCTGTCAAAAATGATTTAGAGTGTGTTATGCTATTCCATACTTTATGACCCAAATCGTAATGAAGTTAATATAATGTCCCGGGAAGTATTTTGAGATAAACCTTAAGGTCTTATGTCATATACATTACAAAAACCACAGAATCTTCATGGTTTCAGTGACCAGAATGTCCTAATCAAAATGTTTATTTGTATTTTATTCATTTCAGCTAAACGAGAACTAGTCACCGAAAGCAAAGTATTTTCAGTCGAAGAAATTTACCAGCAAGATGGACAAATGAGTAGGTTCTTCTTCTCACTATCTCTATGTAAATATATATATATAATTTTATTGGTGATTCTCCATAGTACATGCCACGGAGTAGTAAATTGGTTGAAAACTAACTCAAGCGAATCTGTGACTTCCCTTGATCAGAATTAAGCGATGTTAATACCCAAATAGTTATTTCAATTTAACTGAATTTTGGATTTTCCCGTCGATTGATTGGACCGAAGTGCTCGGTCTCAGGTTGACATGTCGGCTTCTTGAGCAGATGCTTTGACTAATTAAATGCCCAGACATCGTCGAAGCATCTGCTCAAAAAGCCGACATGTCAACCTGAGACCGAGCACTTCGGTCCAATCAATCGACGGGAAAATCCAAAATTCAACTAAATCAATATGACCCGTTGCACAAGAGGTGGCTCTCGTGGCCCAAGTGGTCTAGTGGATAACGCTTTGGCGTTTGAAACCATGGGCACTGGGTTCGAGCCTCGGTGGAAGCATCATCACTCACTGACTTGGAAGTGCAGGTACATCCAGTTGACGAGTCACAATTGGGACGAAATGAGCATTCTGGTGGATTCCACTGCTAGTCACCATCCACCAGTTATTTCAATTGTTATAGAAAATTTAAACTAATTAAGAACGTATCTAGAATGACTCTGATGAAATAGCTCAGCTCTTTAAACCGGTGGGAAAATTTTCAAGAGTTAGCTTTCTAGGGATTTGATTTGTTTCATTATTGACCACAGATTGATATCAGTTAAAGAACCACTGGAAAAGACTACTGTTTCGTCCTAATTTGGGGATCTTCAGCAGTAGACACTCAATGGGGTTCGAGTTCAGAACTTTGCAGTCACCACTCAGGCTTGTAGACCATTCAGCTACTGTAGCTTGACTTAATGGCCAGCTGATAAATTCTAGCTTCTACCAATTCGTGAATTTTTTAACGCGATCACCAACCAATGTCATCGCTGAAGAGTATTTGGCTTCGCTCCCGACTGGATGGACTCCACTTGTAGAAGTTAGAACCCACATGGGTCATTACAGAAGGTCCCGGTGGGTGGATGGTCTATGAAGCCTGACTTGTAACAGGAAGGTTGTTGGTTCAAACCCTGGAGGTGGATGCGTACTGATGGTGAGTTCCAGTAAAGGACGAAACAGTTGTATAGCACTCCGTGGTTTCCAGTGATTCCCTACCTAATAATAAAAATAATAATAATTAATAATTTGCTTTATTCCAAAACAGTACTTGTGATACAGAATGGAATTCTCAGCATTTTTACTACACTACTGCATCCAGTTAGTACATTATCAATAAGTAGAATTCTACATAGATTAAGGAAATCTCAATTCATTATGACAACAACATATTGGGATGTCGCTAGAAAAGCCAAAGTTGAACAGTGTTTGAAGGTGTTAGAAAAGTAGGTGCTGTCATATTTACTGGCGTAAGCAAGAGAAAGAAACAAAGCAGCACATAACGAAAAAAAGAGAGAGAGAAAAGGAAAAGAAAGAATGAAAATGTTGTACCCATAAATGATATGAGTTGGAAAGACGAGGTCCAGTTGTTCTGCTGACTATTTAATGAATTATAGGTGTCACACCTAATGCTTTCTTTATCACACAGAACACGAGCTAAGTAGGGTATGGTTGAGTTTTTGTACTTGCTAGTGCGACCATATAGTTGTCTATATTGGCTTCGGGTTTTGCCTGATGAGATGCAAGGGGAGAGTTGTGAGTGAAGAGGGTGGTGTGAGTTAGACAGAATGGATTCAGCCCATTTTTCACATGAGTCCATGTGCCTGTTGACCAGAATATTGGCAAGCTGGTTACTGGCACGTTGCTTACCTTGCTGACAGCCTTGAACATCCTGTGTAATATGTTATAGTCTTTCTTCAGTAGCCCGGGAATAACTAAGGGGGAACAATAGAGAATAATGGGCAAAATGCGAGAGTTAACGAATTGTAGGAGTAAGGGTTGGGTAATACCAGAATGTCTTAACTTCTTGATATAGAAGGTAAGATGGAATATTTTCTTAGAAATCGCCAAGATGTGGGAAAATTGTTAGCTGCTTAAGCATTCGTACGTTGCAGATAAGCGAAATAAGCGTTTGCACTATTAATTAACAGGAAATCTGTCCAGTCGGTTGTATATGCACTTATTTAAAGTACATCATCATTTGTATTTTTGGATGTGTCGTAATGCATTATCTGAATAAATTTTGGAATTCATAAAGTTCCTCTCCTCATGTTGTTGACTAGTGCAGTGATGAAACGTTTCTCAGTCAGAACCTGAACTCAATGAACAACTTATTCTTAAATGAGTCAAAGTCATTTGAACATGAATCTTCATCTAGCAAGCGATTGGAACAACAGCTTTCATTATGTTATGCAGGACGCCTATGACTACTTATTTATTTATAAGTAGTCTAAATTTTAACAATGATTATTTTTGAAAAATATGTTGCATTATCATACAAATAATAATAGTAATAATAATAAAAGCTAATGTTTGTTTATTTTTACTGACTGAGTCTTCACTTAATGCAAGCGGTATACCGTGGAAGGATTAATGAACTGACTGAATATTAGCTTGTATGAAGTGATAGAATTTCAAGTAGACATTTCGAAAGGAGACAGTTGAACAACTTCAAAGACTATTTGCTTCATACAGTATTAAAGTCTATTTCAAGTCCTCTAATTCTTTAGAGAAAGCTTTGTTGAATGTCAAAGATATGGTTCCCAAAATGTCACTAAGTAATTGTGTCTGTAGGATAAAGTGTTCAGAATGTGAAGCCTGCTATATTGGGAAGAGCAGTAGACAGGTGAAGGTTAGAGTGAATGAACATAGGCTATGCACGAGACGTCCATCTAGAAATGAAATAGAATTAAAAATTCTAGAGAAAAGATCAGCTACAGGAATGCATGCGATAGACAGCGATAGACATAAGATTGATTTCAACAATGTCGAAATTCTAGGAAGAGGCTATCATTCACATAAAGAAAGGCTGAATTCTGAAGCCTTGCACATTTTAACCACATGGAATGCAGTAAATAGGAGAGAAGGGATAGACTTATCACCTATATGGCAGACTCTAATGAAGCAAGACAGATTGGGAAGAAAACAAATTCAATCCTATGTTACGACCATATTATGAAATATTATCATGTTTTGATGTGTTTTCCACATAACAAACAACATACACACACACAGCACACTCATACAGACAAATACGCATATATGACAATTTGACATTAGTCATTACAAATATGTGATGACTGTTTACATGTTTCTATTGGTACAAATGTCAACCAACAAGTGACTTCCAAAGGAACTCGCTTCAATTTATGTGATTTTTGACTATATATATATGTGATGGTCATCAAAATCCGAATAATTCTGCTGCTGAAGAAGCTGTGGTGGCTTACACAGTGAAATGTTCAGAAAACAGATCTTGTTTTGATTTTGATTTTTTTCTTAAACAAGCTGGGATTATTTAAAATAATTTACAGTGATTCAGTCTGACTCGGCGCTCAAATTATTCCAGGAAGTTCGTAACATCTACGGTCTGAAAGCTTATAAACATATATACTTTTTAAATCAAAATGTAAGCTTCACGTTTTGCTAGCCCATACCTGATGATTTCCTGGAGTAATCCATATTATGTATCGAATAAAAACATATTAACTGAATCACAGACCATTTCAAGTGTTCAAAATACTTTTTTATTTTTACCAGTTTACCACGGATTGATATCAGTTAGAGAACCATTGAAAAACAGCCACACGGAGTACTGGACAGCTGTTTCATCCTAGTTCCTTTGGGAATCAACTGCAGTACGCACCCATTGCCAGGGTTTGAACCCAGGACATTCGGGTCACATGGCAAGCTGGCTCGTATACCAGTCAGCCACTGGGGCCCGATTCAATGGCCAACCCATGAATTCTAACTTCTACAATTCGTGATTTAGCGCGACCCCAACCAATGTCGTCTGTGGGACATCCATCCTAACACGTGACTAGGTGGACCTCAATGGTCATGACTTCTCACTAGTGACTTGCTAAAGGATGTAGTTTCCTGGAGTTCTAGTTGGTTGGGGTCTCACTAAATCACGAATTGGTAGAAGTTGGAATTCATGGTCTGGCCATTGAATCGGGCCCCAGTGGCTGACTGGTATACGAGCCAGCTTGCCATGTAACCGGAAGGTCCTCGGTTCAAAGCCTGGTAGTGAGTGCGTACTGCCGGTGATTCTCAAACTAGGATGAAACAGCTGTCCAGTACTCCCTGTGGCTGTTTCTCAATGCTCCTCTAATTAAAAACAAACTAATCTTACAAAACCAACTAAAGAAAATACTTTTTCTTCCCTAAATGGTATATTAAATGCTCTATGTTTCTTGTGAAATATTTCTTTTTCACCAGCAAATGCCACTTTTACGGGATCTGAGAAAAATGACAAAATAATCAAACGGAAGATTTCAAATACGACGCCAAACAGTGGTGAGTTAGCTGTCACGAGACAATTTATCAATCACATCAGGATTCTATTAGATAACTTTTAAAACTAATAGTCGTAGTTTGTTTGCATGACTGTCTACAAGACTCTGAGTAACTGCGGTTAGTACATGGTCTTTATTACTAGACAAGGAGTTGGGATTGAGTACTAAGTAGACCGTCGGATGAAATCGCACTACAGGCTAGTGGAACTCAAGTGGAACCTGAATGGGAAATGATGAGTTAAGCGTCCGATGGTGAAATGGAGGAGATCGTGAGAGGAGGAGATGAAGACTAATGGGCAGTCTTGAGGTCAGCTGATGACGACTGAAGAGAATGGGATAAAATGATTTAAGCCTTATGTTCCACTAAGAACCCAAGCAAATAATAATAAATAGTGTTGTTGAGCGGTGATTAATATTCTGTTGTTAGGATGAAACGGAATTCTAATTCTGTTTCTCTGTGTAGCATAATAAACCAGTACAACAGATTCCACTTCCCTATATACATCAAATGCACAAATATGAATTTAGTAATTTTGATTGGACACTAGTCAGTAACTAGTGTGATGTGTCTAGTCCTGTCTTTGGTGCAGGCTGAATTCTATCAGTCAGTCAGGTTTGCAATTTGGCTACCATGACACTAGATAGCTGCTCGCCATCACGGTGCACATTGATTTGATGATATTAGATTGTTGGAGGCAATCGGCAGGAAATCTTGTTTGACCTAGGTTTCGTCCTAGTTGGTACTCACCAGTAGGCAAGGCATGTCTGCGATAGTGAAGGAACTCATGACCCACCTTCTGAGATTCAAACTCGCATCATCCAGTGCTACAGTCAGAGACGTTACCACTGAGCTATGGTGGCCACATTGCAAACCTGACTGATAGACTTCAGTCTGCACGAAAGAAATGATTAGACACATCACACTGAATAGCTCAGTGGTAACGTCTCTGACTGCAGCACTGGATGATGCGAGTTTGAATCTCAGAAGGTGGAGCATGAATTCCTTCAAGGTTGCAGATACGCCTTGCTAACTGCTGAGTACCAACCAGGACGAAACCTAGGTCAAGCAAGGCGTCCTGCCGATTGCCTCCAACCATCTAATATCATCAAATGAATTCAGTAACTTTCGAATAACCATCTAGGGTATTTACTAATTCCTGACAGTGAAATTTAACATAAATTTCTTTAGACAATTTTCAACAAATGTACATCACAGAAACCTAGCCTCTAGTTGACAATAAACAGGATTAAATGCATGTTAATAGGTTGCTGTCTGAAAAACCACTCTTAGGGGGACCTAATATCTGCATTTCAGGAGACAAATTGCATGCAAGACTAAAAACCAAATGAAATGAATCCATATATTCAAAAATCTTGGACTGCCATTCGATGTAGTACGAAAAGATCCAATTAGTAAGCAGATGTGAGTAGGGGCAGCACTCTTACGTGAACTTTGGATGACAGCTGGTGTCAGAGTCGAATAAGCACATAAATGAGAAGATATGACATTTGAGTGGTTATATTTTAAAGAACTTTCAGAACATCATTTGCATTACATCACAGTGTTTGAGCTCACTTACTTAGAAGACGTATTTCGTGTAAGAGAATATGTAGCACACCCAGGTGTCCAGGCTGAAGTTGGTACAGCAGGATTAGAATCTGGGGCCTATTGACTACAGGCCCAGTGTCTAAGCCAATTAACTACATCTCCGTTGTGATTATCATGGTAGTCATTATCATCGCTATTAATTCCCAAAGAAATTGTGACATGAAATATTATCTAGTGCGTTTACGCGACCTTTTCTGATGCAACCATTCTGCAATAATCATGAGACATTGCTTCAGACGCATTCGAAACAGTTGCTCAGTTAACTCAATATGTGAACGTGTAACTGATACCCAATGGCACCTCATCTCCAATACCTGACTTACCGAAGTATGTGAGCATACAAATTTAAGCGTGTATACAATTAAATGTTCTTAATATATATATATATATATATATATATATATATATATATATAGTATGTGTGGCTCACTGTCATCTGATTAACATTGAGCATATTGCCATAATAAAAGGCATTTTTTCGAAATTCAAACCTTTTGGTTATCAACTTTTCTTAAATCTCTTGTAAATGTGACTGTTATTATATATATTTAGATCTTGGAGAATCAACCATTTCGAAGAGAGGAGAGAAACCTAGACGAAGTTTGAAGAAAACAACCTCACTTTCTGATTCTGGTAAGTAGTCACCTATACGAAATCAGTACAGTTATCAACGCGTTTAAAGTTATTCTTACTTTTAGTTTAAAGGCGAAGTTAAACTTTAAGCACCACTATTATACCACCAATCATCGAATGACCTCGAATGCACCAATCACGTGAAGGAGGCACTTTTGTGTATGGAATACATATATTTATGATAAAAAAGCATAAAAACTGTATGAAAGTGCTACATAGGATACCTTACTCTCACATGTGATAAAAATAGCTCCCAGTTTTAGGTTGGAGTATCAACAGAGTATAATTCCATTGTGGGTAAAATTTATTTTGATTAAGTCTTGCAGTACAAGTACTATCCACATTCTATGCATGTAATTATTTAGGTCTTCTAAGCCTAACAATCACCCCAATCTTTCCTGAACCTAACTCTAACGTGAAAATATTCCCAAACTAACTGTAATCTAACTCGAACCAACCCTAATGTCGCCTTTATTAGGTTAACCTAACCCTAACTTGTCATTGGCTTAAAGCGTGACTGAATCTTTCCCAAACCTAAGCTGAAACTTGCCAGATATCCCATTTAATAACACAGCTCTTCGATGAGCATATTTTATTGATGGTGATGACAACATTATCTGCCTGGTTTCACTGACTTGCTTAGTGAGCGTTTCAAGTTCATTACTGCAGCCGCACTCCATTGGTAGTTAGTTAGGTGCTTAAAGTTTAACTTAGCCAGTTTAAATATCCCTATTTAATATCATTTCTGCAGTTTGAAGAAATTCTGCCCATAGCTTTTACAGGAGATCCTTTGGTTTGCAAAAAAATAACAAGTTCGTGAGTCCATCTTTTGGTCAAAATCAACTAAACTGTCTAAGGTTCCAAAATAATAGCAAATCTTAAGTGACTCAACTCTCGAAAGAGCCCAGAAATTCTGGTATCATTAATATTTATCTCTAATGTGTGAATTAGACAGCCTGTCAAAATATCAGCGTCAGTTATTCTTTTCCTAATTCTTCAATAAAAGGACAAATATCCCAATTGTCACTACCTGGTTAGCATCCTCCAGTGAAACATAGGGCTTCAAGGTAGAGACTTGAAGTTTCTGTAGCAGTGGCGTTTATTTTTACAAGATAGGGTTGCTAGCCCCATGCTCAACCTTTCCTCTTTACCAGCTTTATTTCTGGCTTAGCGAGGTCTGGGAGTGCGTCGGTGGCCGGGGATCGAACCCCGGACCATGTCCAAGTCATTATTTGAAGCTCTTTCATCATCCACTCCAGAGATTTAAGTCCGTTATCCACATTGTGAGATGTTGTCACCAGTTATCTTATGAAATTCAAATCTTCCTGGGATTAGTTATGTCGTATTCACCACCGATTAATATTCATAGTTACAAGCCAGTCACACCAAGCCATCAATGATGACTATTTGTATGTTTAGCTGGCTTATTTTCTCCCTAGTTTTTCGATAGTTTACCCGTATAAATTCAACTCTGAAGAAAGGAAAAAACTTATGTCAGACCACTCAAAATGTATATGCTTAGCTGCTTAAAGATGATGTTATCACTGGTTATAATAATTTATTTGAAAGTTGTACATTTTGCAGTATCCCTTCACTACCATTTCCTTCGAAAACATGTAACTTAAATGAAAATCAACTGAACAGTGTGATTCGGTGATAAGCTCATCTCACCTTAAGGAAAATTGAAGAAAGATATCTCATGGACGTCTTCCAAAAAAAATGGATGTCGACGAAATTTCATCAAAAGACATATACCCCCAAGCCAACCTATCAAACCAAAGGCCCCTAAGGAGAGCACAAAGAAAATCGCCCAACCATATATGAAGGACATCTTAGAAATCACTACAAGACTCTTCAAATCTTTAGGAATTGACATTGCAAACAAACCAAGAAAATCACTTCACTCAGTTCTATGCCAACCAAAAGACTCAACAGCGAAGGAAGATAAAATCAACATCATCTACAAAATAAATTGTAACAAATGCGAAAAACAATACATTGGCCAAAGTGGACGTCCCCTTTGTTTTCATTTCCATAATCATAAGCTAGTCATCAAAAGACATGACATCCACTCCCTCATATCACTACATACAGACAACTACGGGCATCAATTCGATTGGGACAACCAACGTTCAAATATTAAACAGAGGAAACAACAAGAATACCAGAAAAGTTTTATAAGCTTGGCATTCCAGTGAATCATCAATCAATAGACACATCGAGATACACAAAATTTATCAACCGATAAAAAAGAAACCTTACACACACTAAGGGTCAAAGTTCAAGTCAAGGAAACAATGAGTTCCAATACAAGTAGCCTAGTGGGTGTGAAAACGCACAAAAACAACCAATCACGTCCAAGGTCACCGGGAGAGATGATTAATTAACTTGTGGAGAAATCTAAAGCTCACTTCAGATTGAAGTATGCTCTGAAGATGTCACCTAGTAGGGTGATGAAAGCTTCGCAAATTAACTACTATCCAGCTCAGAGAACACAACCACATCAAAATCATCTCACTCTTCCTAGGAAACAGTATTGGCTATTGTGAATACTTACTTCCTCACCGTCTGTCGAATCAATACAGAACTCTGCTCAAAATTACACCATAACAAAAACGGACATGGCTAAAAATGTACAAATAAAACAAGGAAATTTAAATGTAATTATGTAATAATAAATATTTAGTAGGAGAAAGTAAATGGATGAACATTTCTTGTAGTTTTCAGAATCTCCCAGATAATAATAGATGGATGAGTCTATTCCACTGCAAACAGTTTTGAATCGTGTTCACAAGTCTTAGACTTTTAGTTCCAAGCTATCCACTAATTGCTTCCTAGTGTAACGACAGAAGATAAGAGTCAGGCAACAGATCGTTTATTGAGAAAATCAAGAGATATTTATAGATTTTTATGTACATTATTATAGGTTATTGTTAGCAGAGAAGCAACGTCTTCTGATTGGTTGTTTTCCTGCTGAAGGTTATTCTGTCATCTCTTTGTGGCCGTTTCTTTGAAGGTCAGACCATATATCTGTGAATCCGCTCGTAAGAATTAGATATGATGGAGAAGATTTGTAGCTCAGGTGGATGATTTTGATGTGGTTGTGTTTTCTGAGCTGGATAATTAATTTGCGAAGCTTTCATTGACCTATTAGGCAACAGTTTCGGCGCATACTTCAATTTGGTGAAGTGAGCTTTTAGATTTCTCCACGAGTTTATTAATCTACTCTCCCGGTGACCTGTGACGTGATTGATTGTTTTTTGTGTTTTAACACCCTCTAAGCTACTTGTATTAGAACTGATTGTTGCCTTGACTTGAACTTTGACCCATTGTGTGTGAGGTTTCTTTCTTATCAGTTGATAAATCTAGTCTATCTCTATGTGTCTGTTGATTCAGGATTCACTGGAATAACAGACAGGCATCTACAATTTCTCTAGCATTCTTGTTGTTTCCTCTGTCTAATATGTGAACGTTGGTTGTCCCAGTCGAATTGATGTCCGTGGACATCCAGCTCATAGAACACAACCATGTCAAAATCATCCACCTGAGGTACAAATCTTCTCGACCACATCTAAGCTCATAGACCATTCAGCCACTAGCACCCTGTCTAATGGTCCATAAACTCCCACTTCTGCCAATTCGCAATACATATATATAATATATATATAGGCGGTAGAACAAACTTCTTTTTTGTGCAAAGGCACCAGGATTGTTCTCTCGAATTCCCATAACTTCAGCTATGTGTAAAAGGGATGGGGTTCGTATTCCGTTCGAAAGGCTCAATGGAATGCGATAGATAACTTTGAAGGCACTATTTCTGTCCACTTGGTGACAGCTATCATCAACCAAATAAGCCAAAATAGAACTTCTTATAGATTTTATTTGACCTTTTCCGAACCATGAAGGAAGATGCTTATTAATGCGTTTGTCGGGCTGTCTAGTTGTTCGCCCTATATAGCTCTCTCCACAGGAGCAACTAAATTTGTAGATACACATAGAAGTTGCACAGCTAGGTAACTTGTCTTTCGCTTGAGTAATCATAATTGATCGGCCTGAAAATGAAAAACAAAGGGTGGCGGCAGTATAAGTCCATTTTATTGCTCTCGATAATCTTAGATGTAGGACTTCACTAGCCACGTCCCCATTAAATTGCATTTTAATGAACAGTTGTTTCTTTTTAACTGTTGTCAGTTTCTCTTTATTGTACCTGGTGTTCATGTGTCTCCTTACAAATCTACTAGGATAAGCCATTTGGACCAGAGTATTTTGGATGTATCCTAACTCATTTTGTGGGGAGTCATCCATACAGATTCTTCTGACTCTATTCGTGAGGCATCTAACTAAATTGATTCTGTATCTGACTGGTACAAAACTGAGGAAATGTGTATATTGTCCTGCAGATGTCAGTTTTCTATATACATTCCTCTTGAGTGAACCATCCTCTCTTCTGCTCAATTGGACATCAAGGAAGTGTAGTTTACCGTCATGTTCTTCTTCACAAGTGAAGATAAGCGACGCATGCGCCCCACTAAATTTCATTCTTGTCAACTTTCACACCAAGAATAATAAAACCCATGGCACTACCTTGTAATCGTCAGCTAATATAATCGGCGACTTGTTGGACATCGCTGGTCACGACTTCGCACATTCATCAATTCAGTTGAATATGTAAATTCTTATTGGTGGATATTCCTAACTTCTGATTGGCTAGATTTAATTCTACAGTCTTTGAAAGAAAGCATTTTCATTGGTTTACAAAGTTCAACTATTATGAAATGCTTCAGGTTTGCATACTCTTTACATAAATCAATTGTCTTTTCATCTCATCAATATAAAAACAAGAAACTTTAATATTTTATTTTATAACTTTTACCTTAATTATTACAGATGTTCAAGAATTGGAACAAAATGCCCGGTTTTCAAGACAAAATTCCTTACCTGAAAGTTATTGTACAAATTCAGTGTTAGCCAAATATCAGAGTTCGATAATTCTTCAAAGTCCTTTAAACTATAATGATAATGATATGGATTATGAGAGTACATGCACTCAAAATGGTTATGTAAGGTGGGTAATTTTTCACCTTCAAAGTAAAATACCGTTTTTCCAGCAGGTGTTTGTTTTGCAGGGATCTGATTGCTTGGAGGATATCATCGTGAGCTGACATCGGTTAGAGAACTACTGGAAAACCTAAGAGTACTGGATAGTTGTCTCGTCCTAGTGCTTGGGACTCTTTAACAATAATCACCCACCACTAGGAACCAAAGCCAGGACTTTCCAGTTACAAGTTGAGCTCGCAGATCATTAAGACACTAGGACTCGATCCAATGGCCAGCCATTTCATGAATTCCAACTTTTGCCAATTCACGATAGATGACAACCGGTCCTGGATTCGAAACTTGGTTGTGGGAACGTCCTGCCGATGAGTCTCAAACTAGGATGAAACAGCTGTCCAGTACTCCCTGTTGCTGGTTTTCAATGGTTCTCTAGCTGATATCAATCCGTGGTCTAGTCAGAAACTACCAGGATCCCTACAAACTAGTTCTTGAAAATCTCCACTGTTATTTTTACCCTCAATTTGTCCTTTCAACTTGGCCTAAGTTCATCTCCTCACCCCTTAACTCCTTATTAATTTCATATAGATTAGATATATGTACAAATTATATCCGTATAAATATCAGTGTCCTCTGGTCAAATCTTGATCAGAATCCGTATAAAAATAACAATTCACTTAGGGGGCCAAAATCTTATAAAACTAAAAGTTGCGTAATACTACAGACGAAGTAGACAGATAACCAAAATTTAAGAAAAAAAGTATGGAAGAAATGAAGAATAAGAAAGGATAGAAAGTTTTAATTAGCCCATTCGATTTATCTTAACTAAATGAGAGACAAAGGTAGAATAAACGTCTTTCGAATAAAAATTCCACAGCTCCAGCATTCTGTTAAAGGCGAGTTCAAATTCTATTTGAAAGGGTCTCTGAAATGCTATAGGTAGCCCTGAAAGCGCTTTTTCTGTCCACTCGGTTACACCTATCAATCATTATTGATGATATATGTCTGATTTCTCACAAACTGGAAGATATGCAAGCGAAAAGCAACAACATGGCAGAAGAAGCATCAAAGATAGGACTTCCTTCAGGTGAACATAGAGAAAACAGAGGTGATGAAGATTCCTGGACAACACCACCACCACCAACAACAACAACAGACAACAATCAGCATAAATGGGAGGAACCTGAAAGAAACAACCTCCTTCACCTACCTATCTGGGAAGCATCGTTTCAACTACAGGCACACTGAACTGACGAGGATATCAAAGCAAGAATCGGAAAAGCAAGACAAGCTTTCAATACTCTCAAGTCTGTGTGGTGGTCAACAGCACTCAGCATCAAAAAGAAGATCCGGATTTTCAACTCCAATGTGAAGTCAGTGCTACTCACTATACGGATCAGAGACTTGCACTGTGCGTCATTAAGAGCATCTCAAACAAACTACAGACCTTCATTAACAGTTGTCTTCGCTCAATACCACTCAAGATCAGATGGCCAGCCAGAAAAGATGAGCAACAGAGATCTCTGGCAATGAGCGAACCGACTCAGCAGGAACCGACTGTGAAACAAATAGGCAGGAGTAAATGGAGATGGATTGGCTGGCCATACTCTGACGAAACAATCCATCAAGTGACATCACACGTCAGGCTATAGCTCGAGTGGAACCCGAAAGGGAAGTGGCGAGTTTGTCGTCAGTGCAAGGGTGACTTGGAGGAGATCATGTGAAGAGGGGATGAAAACGTGTGGGCAGACATGGAGCCTTGTGAAGACTCTAGCAGAGAACCAAACGCAATGGAGACGCACGGCTGAAGCCCTATATTCCTGTAGGAATTAAAGGATACAATAATAATAATAATCAATCATTATTACGAGTGTTATCATCATTCGGCGTTCCTTGAATTTACGCTGATTTCGTCCTATTCGCACTATCTTCCACTCCATTGATTACAATTCATCCCTTGAAACCTGAATTTTATTAATTTCATAAGCACATCACTTAATCATTAAGTCTTCTATTTGCACTGACTGTGCATTTGACAAGTACATCATTTAATAAGGCAAAGCGTGCGTCTTAGATTTCAATACAGCGAAAATATTCATTCACACATCTGTCTATAAAACACAAAATAATTGAGCAAAGAATATCCTTTTCGATAATTTCCTCCTCTTCTGACTCTACACTTATATATATGTGTGTGTTTATATACATAGATTATTCTAGAGTAGTAGTCAATAGCAATATTATTGTTTTTTTTTAAATAATATCGATTTGTTAAGTAAGATCACAATGGAATTACAGTTCATTAAAGATGCTTAAATTATAATAATATAATAACAATAATAATATAATAGCAAATAGAATATCAACTAAAATTAGGGAGATTTCCACAAAACTTCAGGATCATTCCAACCTAGATGGCCAAGGTAAGGATAATGTCTGAACTAGCTTCTTTTGGACACATAAATTAGGCTTCTTAATATGGATCCCAACAGCCAGCCTCAGCAATATTTAGTAGACGAACTCTTAAGGCGAAATTGAGATTTGTTGGTATGTGGTAAATGACTTTGAAAGCGGCCTCGTTAACATCAATCTTGTGTTCTGTATCCACAAGATGAGATAAAATAGCGCTACGAATAGATTTTGTTTGTCCTTTACTTAACCACGGAGGGTGATGATTTCACAGCTACCCCACAACAACCAACTACTATTATGTTAATCTCTAGGGTATCGTCGAAACAAGCATACTAGGAGACAACATTCCATCGCAGATCAAATATTTCAATCCAATAAAGTCAATCTGTGAGAAATTCCAAATAACCTCTATTAGGAACAATTAACAGACTCGCTAACTGAGACTAAATCTTATGTTTCATTCTCTTCACTTTAAAAAAAAACATATGGTTATTTATAATTCTTATGTCTGCATAAAGTCATTACTTTTATCCCTCAAAGATTCTCTTTGTTGGCTTAATTCTTTAGGGAATTAAAAGCTCAACTGCAAGCTGCATTGGATCGTGAAGCGTGTCTACGTCAAATGTTGGCTAGTCGAGAGGCAGGTATGCGAGAAATTGATCAAAAAGTAGAAAGTCTAGAAAACACTGAAGTCAAAGGCAATCTATTCACACTGTAAGTATAAACGATTTCTTTTCTTTATTTCTGATTACAGCTTGATTCCACACCCTATTTTCGGCACAAGTACGGAATTTTCAGCATGTGATATCGATAGCCCAAATTTTGCAGGCCGACCATAGATATCAGGTGTGCGTCGGCAGGGGATCGAACCTCGGACCATGTGCATGGTCGGCGAGAGTCGTAACCACTGTTTGTAATGGTAAGGTTTGTTTTTACGAGTTGATCATGGATTGATATCAGTTGTAGAACCATTGAAAACCAGCCACAGGGAGCACTGGACAGCTGTTTCATCCCAGTTTGGGAATCACCGGCAGTACGCACCCACCGTAGGAAGTTAGAAAACAGGACCTTCCGGCTACAAGGCAAGCTGGCTCGTTTAGCATTCAGCCACTGGGACCGATTCAATGGCCAATGCTCATGAATTCCAACTTCCACTAATTCGTGATGCATTTAGCGTGACCCCAATTAATGTCGTCGGTGGGACATCTATCCTCACACGTGACATCTGGATCGACCTCACTGGTCACGACTTCTCACTACAACTCCAGGAAACGCCATCCTGTAGCAAGTCACTAGCGGGCATCACATTCATCTCCTATATTTGGTTCGTACGGATTAGCTTTTTTGATACGACTTTATCACGATTGATATCAGTTAGAGAACCATTAGAAAAACAGCCACACAAAGTACTGGACAGCTGTTTCATCCTAGTTCTTTTGGGAATCATTGGCGGAAAAATAACATTACCTACGCTTAAATCTTTGTTCATTATAAATATAAGATTTCATTAGCGTCAGTGAACACTGTTCATTGGCATCTGTGTTGGACTAAAGGCCAAAATAATGTTAACAATGTAATCAATAGAAAGTTGTGAGTGTAGTAAATGAAGCCACTACATACCCGTTGATTATTTCGACTGTGTGAATAGCAAATTGTCAACTTGTTAGACGGTGATGTAAAACTCAGATGGATGTATATTTGTTGATTTCGTGTTTTTTTTTTTGAGCTGTATGGATGATTCGATTGTGAAGATTTTATTGTTCGTCTGATCAATATCTCCATCTCTGATTTCAATATGAGCTTGATTCCGACTGCCTGTCCTTGTAGATTTTCTTCGGCTTGTATCCACTTACATTGCTACTGATTGTCATATTGACCTGATATTCGATTTTTTTTATAGTGTCACTTAATATTCATTGATTTATAAAGTTGATTTATTGGTATTAGGTGGTTGGAGGGAATCGGCAGGAAGCCTTGGACCTAGGTTTCGTGCTAGTTGGCACGTGATCGGTGAGCATTCTACCACTGTGCCATCGACGGACTCACTTAACTATTAGAATACATAACACTGCGAACTGATAACCTCATTCGCTTCCTATCACTGGACATGTTGTTTTGAAATGGATTGAGTAACAAATGGAGTTTACAACTTTTAAGGATTGCGAAATTAGCCAAAGGATAGTGAAAGATGAGATTAATAGTTAGCTCTATGTTTCAGACATACCTTGATGTTGAGTACCTCAGCTTCCTTGATGGATAGCTGCAGTCAAAAAGCAACTTATCTAAGTACACTGTGAAGGCAAAACAAAAACACACGGCGAAATTGGTTCACTGAATTCAGTCATCATGACTAACTAAGCGCAACAGAAGGATTTCTGTGTCCATATTTTCACTGAGTGCTAGGATTTTTTAACACCTCTCAGGGAACGACTTCTCTTTCCTTCTTCAGACAGGCTGGATAGTGTTCACCAACCGGTGACGCTCATCCGTTGACATGGTTGATTAACTTAACTTAGTCTTCCAGTTGTTCAAAGACTATGGAATGGGGTGAAAATGTCTTCTTTTTTCAGACGGTAAGAAGTCTTCCATGACAAGACAGTCACTGATAAAACTGTCTTTTTTCCCTGACTATAATTTTTGTCTTTGTTTAATTCTTAATTTTTAGACCAAAAAATATTTCAGCAACTAAATTACGCGATATGATCGAAGATTATGATCAGAAGCAGAGAATATTGAATAGAAAAAATCAATTTCTGATTGCTGAAATACGCGAATTGGCTACAATTAAACACATGTTCACTGATCATGCTAATAAAATGACAAAGTAAGCAGTAAATATTTTCTTTCAAAAAGATATATAAACATTTTATACATTTTCCTTTTATTTTTTCAATGAAATGGAAAGAAGGGCAAAGTTAAACTTTAAGCACCACTATTATACCACCAATCAGCGAATGACATCGAATGCACCAATCACGTGAAGGGAGCATTTTTGTGTACGGAATACATATATTTATGATAAAAAAGCATAAAAGCTGCATGAAAGTGCTACAGAGGATAACTTGCTCCCACATTTGATAAAAATAGCTACCAGTTTTAGGTTGGAGTATCAACAGTGACATTTATGCTATATCAGAATAACGTGTCACTCTCAGTTCATATAACTGAGGCAAAATTCAACAAAACGTTCGAATTTAACTTGTTTTTCGCAAGATGTTTATACTACTACTAAGTAGTAAACACACACAGTCGAAAAATTACTCCGTAGGCATATACCGAAAATTGTTTCAAGTTTGATCACGAATTGATATCAATTAGAGTATCAGTGGAAACCAGGGAACACTGAACAGTTGCTTTGTCCTAGTTTGGGACTCATCAGAAGTACGCTCCTCGTGTACCATTCAGCAAATGGGACTCAACTCGATGTCCAACCCATGAATTCCAACCTCTAACGATTCGCGATTTTAGCTGGCCAGCCTAAACCCACCAATGTCATCGGTGGTGAGTAACTGTCCTCACTTCCCAACGGTTGGAATCCAACGAAATTTGCAAAAAATTGATTAAATCTTGGTTTATTAACACTTACTGTCTACTTCAAACTGGTATTGGGAAATCAGCCTACTCACTGTCATATCGTATTAAACAAGAATCTTAACTTCTCCTAAATTTTTCTCTCATCTTATTTTGTAGATATATTCAACGATTAAATATGGAAGGCTGTAAATGGAGACGGGAATATGTGAAATTATTACAAGCTTGCCTTGGCGCGACACAAACGGATCCACACCATAGATTGATGTTCAGCGATTATGGTAAAGATAGAGTGAGTAACAAAGAGTATATTAGTTTATTTCACTTTCCGCTGAGTGTAATTCACTGTAGAAAGGGGAGGTCTTTGTGATAAGACATTATCTGTAGTCCTAAATGAAAGTAGATGTGAGACTTGGAAGATATATATATACGAATTTTGTGGTTATAATCATAGTTAAATGTCAAGTAGCAAAATAATTAATGCCATGCATCGAATAATACATTAGTGCGTCGGTGACATAGCGGTTAGGACGCTTTCCGACCATGCATATGGTCCGGGGATCGATCCCCGGCCGAATCACTCCTTTACCTCACTAAGCCAGAAATAATGCTGGTAAAGAGGAACGGTTGGGCATGAGGCTAGCAACCCCATCCTGTACAAATTAAACACTGCTACAGAAACTTCAAGCATCTAGCTTGAAGCCCTATGTTCCACCGGGGAACGTGAAGGAAAAAAAATAGAATAATACACAAGGTGTATAGATGTTGGAAATGGGTGCATAATTATAGGATTAGTAGGCGAATATAAAATGCTACATAATGTAGTGTGAAATTTGATAAGATAGAATTCAATATTGTAAAAACAAGAAAAAATATAATAATTTTGGATTTAGAATGACAAGTGGGACAAGTGGAAACAATTCAGAGCCAGAATAATAATAATCGTAGTAATAAGGGAAAGGTATATAGAATAACTAAATAAACAAAATACATCAATAAAATTGGATGGAGGATTTCATCATGAGTTGACATCAGTTAGAGAACCATTGGAAAACCTGGGAGTACTGGACAGCCATCTGTTTCGTCAGACTACGCATCTACCGCTAGGGTTCGAACCCAGAACCTTCTGTTTACAAGGCGAGCTCGTAGACCATTGAACCACTGGGACCCGATCCAACGGCCAGACAGCCAGTCCATGAATTATAACTTCTGTCAATTCACGACATAGCGCGATCATTTTGCACTGTCTTCTTCCATGAGTTACTGCCTCCCCTTCAAACTGCCGTAACCTACTGGTCATGGCTTCCCACCAGAACCCCAGGTAACTAACTGTCTGAATAGAGCCTGTCACTAGTGAGCGTCAGATTAATTTTCAAGTATTGATGTCAGCCCATGATGAAATCCTCCATCCAAATAAACAAATGTCTATCTACTTAGTTATTCTGTGTACCTTTCCCTTATTACGACGATTATTATTATTCTGGCTCTGAATTGTTTCCACTTGTCCCACTTGTCATTCTAGATCCAAAATTATAAAATCTTTTGGTTTTTACAATATTGAATTCTATCTAATCAAATTTCACACCATATTATGTAACATTTTATATTCGCCTACTAATCCTATAATTATGCCCCTCTTTCCAACATCTATACACCTTATGTATTATTCTATATACGATATTAATTGTTTTGCTACTTGACATTTAACTATGATTATAATCACAAATATTTGAATAGCATTTCACACTGTTATTATTTCATGTATTCACACCTTTGATTCAATTCCCTCACTGGATATAATTTCTTAAAAACCTTATATATATATATATATATATATATATATATATATATAATTACTCCTATTTAGCCAGCCTAATTAGACTATTCTGTAAATAATCATGCAATATTTGTTTTATTGAGTTGAAAAGGTAAAACGTAGAATATTTGGACCCCACAGCATGAACTTATGACTGCCTTTGCATTAATATACTCGCTGTTTACAATGCTGACTAAGACAACTACTATATAATTACTATTATTGTTCCTTTGGGTCCATTTTGTTCTATTTTCTCCGGTCCTCTTAAGCTGGCCCCACAATTGCCCATATTCTTCAACGCCCTCCTCACATGATCTCCTGCATGTCACACTCGGACTCCCTACCTGCCCTTTCCCATTCAGGTCTCACATGAGGGCCTGGCGCGTAATGTCGCCAATGGTCTCCTCAGAGTATGCCCATTCCATCCCCATTTTCTTCTAAATATTTGCTGAGCAATAAGTTACCGGTTGGTTCCTTCCCACAGTTTCTTGTGGCTAATTCTTTCTGGTCGACCATTCGACCTTCAGCATAGAGCCAGCCAGTAGGGCAGCTGTTAACAAAAGTCCTCAGTAGCCTTTGAAAATGTTCTTCCGGATACACAGTGACAGTTTCTAACCCATATAGAAGAACTTGTATTTTATGCTGACTGAGTGCAGTGCAGAAGATTTCCAAACTAGTTTCAAGTTGATGAAGGTATATCCTGCCTTTAAGATTCTGACTGGCTCTGACATCATCAGTGCCATGTACCTGTGGTTGAAACGATGCTTTCAAGATAAGTGGAGGAAGCAGCCTCCTTCAAATTTCCTCTGTTGATATTGATTAGTGCTGCCTGTTGTTGTTGGTGGTGGTTTGTGGCTATCTTCATCATCTCCGTCCGTCTTCTCCATGTTCACTTGAAATCCTGTCTTCACTGACAGCTTCTTCAGCCAGTCTGTTGGTTTTCGCCTTTGAATGTTTGAGTTTGTGTGACATTAGACATAAACCATCCACGTTAGAAATCCAGATTTTCTAAAGTTTTCTTATTAGTGATCCAGCGTATTCCTCTCTTCTTGTTTCCCACATTCTGATGTACTAGACAGTTACATATTATTCAAATAAAATGGAGCGCTTACACTCAGCCTAGATTGTATTCGCCTAATAATACAATAGCAGTGCGATTCAGTTTTACGTGCAGAATACATTTTGCCTACCAAATGGAATCACGTTATGAAATGAGTGAATCTTGTTGAAGATTCACTCGGAATGCCATATGCCTGGCAATGAGTTACACCTGTTGCATGAGGGGTACTGATACTAGTCACCCAAGCTTCTGTAGGTGAGCTGGGATACAATTACGTGGTCCACCAGTTGGAAGCCGAACGCCTAGATCAATATGCCACAGTTCCACAGTTAAGTGATAACTAACAGTCAATCATTAAATAAGATTTCAAGTCGATACGTCCAAAAGAGAAGCAACAGCGGCCTTCGAAAATAAAGTAAGCAAGCACCTCAAAGGACTACTTAAAGAAGGGCTAATAGACAACAGCACTTACAACGACCTTAAACCAAGGGGTTCGCGTGTACCATTCATGTACGGTCAACCCAAAGTCCACAAAAGTGATGTACCATTGAGACCTATAATATCAGTGGTGAAATCACCATGCCATAAACTGGCCAGATGGTTGGCCCAAAAGCTGGAACCCATTCGAAAAAAGCTGGCAGCTCACAGTATCAAAGATTCCTTCCAGTTTTCACTAGAATTAGATCAACTCAATATTTCAGATAGAATTCTCGTGTCATACGACGCTTGTTCACTGTTTATTAGCATACCTATCGAAGAAACAGTAAAAATCATATGCCAGCAGTCCGAACTGCTCCCTCTTCCAGAAAATGAGCTACGCAAATTGTTATTTCTATGTACAAAGAATATTCATTTCCGATTCAACAATCAGCTGTACCGGCAGATTGACGGGGTGGCTATGGGTTCACCTCTGGGTCCTGTTCTTGCTGACATATTCATGGCTCATCTTGAACAGACTCAAGTGAAAGAAGAAATAGAAAGAACCACCTATTACTGCAGATATGTCGACGACACGTTTGTGGTCTGCAATGATATAGAACACGCGTCCACAATGTTTGAGAAACTCAACGCGGCCCATCCCAACATCACATTCACAATTGACTACGAAAGAAACAACCAGTTCCATTTCCTAGATGTCGACATAAAAAGAAGAAATGATGGGACAATTCAAAAATCTGTCTACAGGAAAGAAACTTGGACTGGTCAATACCTACATTATCATAGCTTTTGCCCAACCAGTTACAAACGATGTCTAGTAAAAACGCTCTTCAGCAGAGCCAAAGAAATATGTTCAGAAGACAAGACTGAAGAAGAACTTGAGATCATCGAAAAGAACCTTATCGAGGATGGATATCCTCGAAAGTTCATATTAAAATATAGAAATGAGGAAGTACACAAACCGAAACCCGACACCGTTGAAAAGAAACCAGTTTTCATCTGTCTAGCGTACAAAGGGGAAGACGTATCCACAAGAACACAAAAAAGAATCACAGGTGCATTGAAAAGAACGTTCCCAGCCGCCAGACTGATCCTACTTCACAACACTGTGTGCTCGTTAACCCAGTCAAAAGTAGATGAGTTCCCTACTCACGTCAACTCCAACTGCATTTACCAATTCACGTGCACCTGCGGTAGCAAGTACATAGGAAGGACTGAGAGGACAGCATCTACTAGATTTTCTGAGCACATTCCTAAGAGTCTCCGTACAAAAGGAAGAAAAGTGTTATAAAGTGCAATCGCCAGATATCTAATTGACACAGGACACAAAGTAGAAATCAGCCAAGCCTTCAAAATAATCAATACACAAAGAAACCCACGGCTACTTCGCTTCGCAGAAGCCATTGCTATCAAGAGATTTCGACCAGACCTTTGTATACAGAAAGATAGTGTGATTAATCTTTCACTACCTTGGTAACCCTAACTCTATTTTATTTTATTTTTGTTTTGCCTTTCTGTCAGTATGCCTGTGTGTTTGTCTTGTTGTGTAACATTCTATTCAATTTTGACCTTCAAGTTTCTAAATCTACTTGATTGTTTGTCTGTTTAAGTTATAAATGTTACTCCACTATTCACCCCCACCCTCTTAAACTCTCCACCACAAGATGTGTAAATTTACTTTGTTCTCTGACCCTGACCCTGTAATATGCCTCTAACCAATCTGTGTTGTTTTCCAATAGAAATCTCAACTCTTACCCCTCTTATCCAATTCCACTATATATAATTAGTTGTTTTTTGACACCGAATAATCTACCTACATCAAATTCTGGAATTATGTTCCTTACGCCTTCTATCTATAACTCAAAGTATTTATGAAAAAGTATGTTCCACAACTTTCTTGAAACCTATAATTTGATTTTGTTTAGGATGTATGCAGTTGATGAGAATCCACGAAATAAGACGAGCTCGTATTATCCTGCAAATATGTTCGTTCTTTCTCTCTTCAAACTAATAAAGGGAACCGGTTGCATGAAATCATTAAATAGGTAATAATTTCACTTAATCCGACGTCTTTGACTGATGGTATTTGACAGCACGAAGTTACAGTTAATGTTAGTGTCTGCTAGTTGTGTAGTGAAAGCTGTCTGCAAGCAAAAATTGTAGACAACAACTGACACCAATATTTACTTCCCGAATCGGGATCATAAGAAATAAAACAATAACAAAGCCTAACCTTGAGGAACTCAACAATCACCAATCACAGCAGACTTAATGTCTGCAAATACGGTTCGCAGATATATGGCATGACTTTCTAAAAAGACGCCACAAAGAGATGACAGAATAACCTTCAGCAAGAAAACAACCAATCAGAAGACGTTGCTTCTCTGCTAAAATAACAAATAAAAATGTACATAAAAATCTATAAATATCTCTTCATTGTCTCAATAGACTATCTGTTGCCTGGCTCTTTTTCTCTGTTGTTATATTTGAATCAATTTTTGGTTAAATACGGTCACAGGTTTTGAATAATTCGGTTCAGCCCAGTTGCCTTGACTGAAGATTAAACTTCCTTGTTACAGTCAGGGTTTATGCCTGCCACAGTATCTGTTTTAAGCAAAGAAAAAACAGAAGGAGCTCACCACTTCAGGTTATGACCACATGTCAGATATAAGCCACATATTTGCAAACTCTAAGTAAATATTTTTCAGCTAATCAAAGAGTATTGTGAAACTTTCGAGAAAACCAGACGGTAGCATAAAAAGAAATTTGCATAGAAAAAGCACTTGGACAGGACAATATACACACTTTCACAGCTTCTTCCCTATCAATTACAAAAGAAATTTAGTGAATACCCTCAGCCACAGAGTTAGAGCTATATGCTCAGAGGAAGTAATTGAAGATGAATAAGGCATTGCATATGATAGTTTAATCGAAAATGGCTATCCCGACAAATTTATCAAGAAACACATCACAAAGAAAGCGAAAAAGGACTACTCACTGTCTGTAAACAAGAAGCCTTAAATATACGACTACAATTCATGGGCGATATACCAAGCGAGATAATTACGAAGAAATTAAGAAAATCAGTCCAAAGAACTTTTAATGCTGCCTAACTACACGTATTATTCTCTACACGACCGATGGTGCTACCTCGACTGAAAGATGAAGTACCTAGACTAGCCACTTCAAATTGTATCTATCAATTCAACTGTGTTTGTGGAGCTCTAGGAACTTGATTTTTCGTGCTCAAGAACATATCCCACTATGACTAAGTAAAGGTTGAGTTAAAACTATTAACAGCTCGATATTAGACCATCTTGTGCAAACTGGTCACAAAGCTAGTGTAGAAGAATCCTTCTCTAAAATATACTGGGTGCCTAATAAATTACCGAAATCATCGAAGCACTGCATGTTGATGCTCTTCAGCTGTAATCTATCAATATTATTGATTCGATGTTATTTAAACAACATTAATGTTGTTCACAACACTAATTCATTCATTCACTATAATGTATGCATATACAACTGTAGAACCTGATGAAGAAGAGGTTATCGAAAAGAGTACTCTTTGTTCCGTGTCTATTCTTTTGAAAATTTTAATGGGCATTTTTAATCAGTTAAACTGTTCTCCTATTTGAGCCTACAGTATAAATCCAAAGAAACAACTGTCCAAAATCTCCACTGTCACCGGACACGAACAGTAAATTAGTAAAAATGAGCAGCAGACAATTTCTTTTGGTTATTTAAATGCACAGTCAGTCTGAAAGTTGTGAATCCTCTCGGCTAAAATTCTAGTCTGATGGGTATTTCAAGGGATGCAAATCCCGATTACTTAAGATATCATTCAAAAAGGCATCTTAAAAGCCTGATCATTTAATAGAAGCACTGTATGTGATGTAGACATCTAGGAAACCAGTTAGTTAGGCTGCTTGAATGATTTTGAACTTATTTCCAATGGTTTTCAAGTAGATATAACGCTAATAACTGATAGAGGTTTGTAAAAAGTTATATATTGATAAAATCTCAGTGAAACTGAAATGAGTAATTGCAACGTTTCCTGCGTTCAGCAACCTGGTCCGAACTTCTTCAGGAAAATTAATCGAAATCAACATAACAGAGGTTTATATATGTACACAAGGAACATCTCTTGTTTTTAAATTCTTTGTCCAATCATATGAGTCATGAAACAAGTATCAACATGTGTAATAAACAAAATTGTATGAACTGTGATCAAAATTTAACCTCAGACTTTTAAAATTAGTCTACTTTTAATTGGTGGATGGTGACTAGCAGTGGAATCCACCAGGATGCGTATTTCTTCCTATTTGGGACTCCTCATCTGGATGTTCCTGCATCCCCCATTGAATGATGATGTTCCTACCGAGGCTCGAACCCAGTACCCATAGTTTCAAAGCGTTATCCAGATGACGAGTCCCAAATAGGACGAAATGCGCATCCTGGTTTCCACTGCCAGTCACCATCCACCAATTAAATACTAATTAAATGCCCAGACATCGTCGAAGCATCTGCACAAGAAGCCGACAGACATGTCAACCTGAGACCGAGTGCTTCGGTCTAATCAATCGACGGAAAAACCTAAAATTCAATTAAATTAGTCTACTTTTGTGAAACATTTTAAACAGAGTGTACTTCTTATCAGATTAAGTTAAACTAAAAGTACATGGTTGTAGATAACTGAATATGAAAATATACGTGTGTATATGAAGTATACAATGGTGTGTGTATGTGTGTGTGTGGGAAAACAGTCAGAAAACATTTGTTAGTCTCTCCAAAAGAAGATATAAGCAATCGGGAATTTTGACCAAGTATTATCAATTTCTATTTATTAATCAGGATTTGCCGTGCATCAGCTAACATCACACCTTCACATCTATTTAAACTGTTGGGATTCACCTATATATGTAGGGCTTCCGCAGTCAGTCTTTCTTTATACGAACCAAAACCTTTTTGTAGAACCTTAGTCTTATCAAAGTCGATTTTGTGTCCCGTTTTTATCGAATGCAGTGCAATCGCTGATTTGTTTTCTAGCTTCTTTAAGTCTGCAGAGGTCTTTGGAAGCACCTTTAGACATTGTTTATGCTCTTTCCCTCTTATATTTACCTGTCTGGAAGTTTCTCCTACATATATGGCGTCACAGTCTCCACAACTGATCTGGTATACAAAATTCTGCTGGTTTTCTTGTTCTATTTTATCCTTAACCTTCACCAGTGATGAGGGTAAGGTGTTAGTTGCACTCTCTTATGTTATAATCGTTAAGGATTCTCTTTATCTCATTCGATGTTTCTTTGCTGTAAGGAATCACCGCTGTAATAACCCGATTCTTAACAACAGTTTTCGATCCATCCTAATCTTCACATTTTAAATATCTTTTTATGAAGTCTTTAGGATAATTATTTGATTCAAGAGTGGATTGAACCAATTTTAGTTCCTTGCCAATCTCTCCCTCCTCATTAACTCGACGTTTGGTTCTGTTAATCAGATTCTTGGCCACAGTTACTTTGGTGGTAAAGAGGTGTGCTGAATGGTAGTCTAGGTATCTGTCCGAATTTGTCGGCTTTCTGAAAATATTTATTTTAAATTTACCATTTAGTTTTCTCTTTACTAAACATTCCAGGAACGCCAAATCATTCTCGTCGGATTCAACCTCTTTGGAAAACTTGATGGTTTCTGACATATTGTTTATTAAGTGAAAAAGTTCATTCAACAAACTAAGTCTGATTATGACGAAGGTATCTCATCCACGTATGTTAACCACATTTTTGGAGGACTAGAGCATCTCATAATTGCATTTGTTTTTTTAATGAGAGCATAAACCGATTGGTGACTAGCTGAGATACTGGTGATCTCACAGCAGTGCCTTCTGTTTGACGGTAAAGAAGCCATTGGAACTGTGTCTACGTTCCACGTTATTTACATTTAGAGGGGACTAGATACGTCACACTAGTTACTAGTGTCCAATCAAAATACCCACTACAGTCCTACAGAAGGTCAATCACGAGCCCGAATAGCTCAGTGGTAACGTCTCTGACTGCAGCACTGGGTAGCGTGGGTTCGAACCTCAGAAGGGACATGAGTTCCTTCAGGGTTGCAGATACGCCTTGCTGATGAGTGCCAACTAGCACGAAACCTAGGTCCAAGGCTTCCTACCGATTGCCTCCAACTATCTAGTATGAAATCAATGAGGTTCTTTACTGTCAAACAGAAGGCATTGCTATGGGATCACCAGTATCTCAGCTAGTCACCAATCGGTTTATGCACTCATTGAAAACAAATGTAATTATAAGATGCTGTAATCCTCTAAAAATGTGGTTCACACATGGATGAGATACCTTCGTCATAAATCAGACACACAATAGAATCAAATTGGGAAATATTCATGAACTCAGTTGTTTCCTGATGCAAAACTAAAATTCTCACTACACTTTTTTTTATCTCTTTTTAGTACAAGGCTTTAATCGGTGAACTTTTGGATGAAGCAAGACGTAAAGATCCAAGTTTACCATCGATGATTAAGTAAGGAAATAATAATGAACTTTGTTAAAGTTAATCTAAAATTTCTCATTTATTGATTTATATTCGATCGATATCTGTTGACGTGATGCCTTCTAGTACAGACGCTTCAGTACTGTTTGACTGCTAGTATGATGTAGTCTGTTTTACAGTAACTAGCGGTGTAATAAATTTGGTATATATATACACAGTGTGTTTGATTCATAACCGCTTAATTAATTAATAATTAACATGTCAAGTGATCCACAACGGAAAATTCACCGAGGTGTTTGGAGTAAACACAGGAGTCAGACAAGGGTGCTTATTATCACCAATGATATTCCTAATTGTGGTGGACTGGATTATGCGTCAGACAGTGGGAAACGAGAAGACAGGGATATCCTGGACTGACGTGAAGAACCTAGAAGACCTGGATTTCGCGCGTGGATGATTTATGTTTGATGTCACACAAAATCGAAGACTTACAAGCGAAAACCGACAAACTGGTCGAAGAGGCTGGCAGCAAAGACAGGACTCCAGGTGAACATAGACAAGACGGAGGTTATGAAAATAACCAACCAACAACAACAACAGCAGCAAACATCCAGCGCCAATCACCATCAATGGGAGGGATTTGAAAGAGGTTACTTCATTCACTTATCTAGGGAGCATTGTCTCAACTACACGAGGAACGAACGAGGATGTCAAATCGAGAATCGGGAAGGCGAGAAACACATTCATCAACCTGAAACCAATCTGGAAATCTTCGTCACTCAGCCTGCATCAACAACAAAATTCGGATTTTCAATACAAACGTCAAGTCAGTCACTTCTTCTATACGGATGGATCAGAAACTTGGCGGCGGGTCACAAAGAATATTTCCAACAGCCTGTTGCAGACCTTTATCAACAACTGTCTTCGCTGGCTCTATACTGAAGATCAGATGGCCGGAAAGAATCACCAACAAGAAACTATGGGAACAAACAAAACAAGAACCAATCGTCCAACAAATATGCAGGAGAAAGTGGAGATGGATTGGACACTCGCTGAGGAGGCCGCTGGGTGACATCGCGCGTCAGGCCATAGCTCGAGTGGAACCCGAAAGGGAAGCGGCGAGTGGGACGTCCAAGGGTGACATGGAGGAGATCGTGTGAAGAGGAAATGAAACAGTATGGACTAACATGGATGCAGGTGAAAAGTACAGCAGAAGACAGAAGCAAGTGGAGACGTGCAGTTGAAGCCCTATGTTCCACTAGGAACCCAAGGGAACAATAATAATAAATCAGCTGGTGACCTAGCCCCGTAATCTGCTTTTACTGAATATCATTCATGGTGTGATCTATGGTCTGTGTTGATAGGCAGTCAGAAATTAGGTAGGATCAACAATTTTTCTCAGTAATTCTTAATTTTCAAGTATTGGTTTTTTCGGTAGGGATTCTGTTTGATTGATTGGTTGGAGGATTTCATCACGAGAACCATTGGGAAACCACCTGGGAGTACTGGAGAGCCAAATGTTTCGCCGGCCTAGTTTGCGACTCTTCAGCAGTGAACGCCCACCGCAAGGGCTCGAACCGAGACCATTCAGCAGCCACTCTGGCCCAACTCGATCCAACGGACAGCCACTCCATGAATTCTAACTTCTGTCAATTCATGACATAGCGCGACCGCTTCGTAATGTCTTCTTCGATGATTACCTATCCTTACCTTCAACCTGCTTTACCCTACTGGTCACGGCTTTCCACTAGAACCCCAGGCAACTAATCGGCTGAATAGGGCCAGTCGCTAGTGAGCACCAGATCAATTTTCAAGTACTGGTCTACGAGCTCGTCTTGCAACCAGAAGGTCCTGGGTTCCGAACCGTAGCAACCGGGGTGCGTACTTCTGATGTGTCCCAAGCACTAGGACGAAGCAACTGTTCAGTGTTCCCTGATTTTCAATGAATTTTCTAACCAATATCACTCTGTAATCAAACTTGGAATTTTCATTGTGTTTCTTTACTCATTCTGTTTCCTTTTTACTTCTCCACGTGTACTTTGATTTTAGACCAAAGAATGCAGATTACCATGTCGACTACTATGGTTTTAAGCATAGCTACTTAAATGAGACGAGTATCATTCATTATGGTTGTCAACAATTGTATGATTTCTATACACGTCAGCTATCTGGAGCTGATGAGAATGTTATGCGTTGGACTGAATTATTAGCACAAGCAAACAGAGAGCTTACAAGAGTAAGATTCTTTTTTTAATGAGTAATTCTTCTAATGTCTTTTTGCACAAATTATTGATTTATCTGTCTCAACATCTCATTGAGATGCATTTTAGTCTTATTACTGGCTTAGTGAGGTCTTGGAGTGTGTTCATGGCCGGGGATCGAAGTCCGGACCACCTGTGTGGTCAGTGAGCAATCTACCGCTTTCCCACCAACGCACTTAATCAATCCATTAGAAGTAGAAAATTTTAACACTGAATTACAGAGAGAATTTTAAACATATTGCAATTTCCATTGGTTATGTGTTAAAATATTACGGATATTTAAATGAGAAGCAATAACTCTTGTCTCTAGCCGACATTTAGTAGTCACTATGTTCTGACCCAGTAAACTAGTGGCAATATGTCAGGCACAACATTTAGAGGGAGTATGAAGAGTTCAAAATGTGAAGGCAAAGCAGCCGTTCTGATTTGTGACAAAGGCAGACGTCAAAATCATAAGGTCACTTCTGTAATAAATAGGCATGGCCGTCATTCTCCTTAAGTTTTTTGAATACCACCTGTAAAAAAATGAGATATGGAAAATGATCTCTTTCACTGAAATCCCACTTTAGCTGGATTCAGTTTAAAGGAGGACAGGGAAAAAGTTTCAGAGATAAGATCTGAGATTCACCAAAATTTACAGAAACGTGATTTATTGTCATCTGGACGGCTTTAAATATTCTGGAACTTTTATTCTATCGCTCATGAATCCTGTAATCATTCGATGTGTACTTGTGATCCAGGTAAAGTGGCAAATAATATGATGAAATAGAGAAAGCACTTTCGCAGGGCAATACACACACTTCCTTAGGTACGTGCCCATTAAATATAAAAGGAATGTTGTAAAATGTCTTGCAAGCAGAGCAAGAAAGATATGTACAGATGACCTCTTACAAAAGGGATTTGAATATATTCACGATTCCTTGGCGGATATGGGCTATCCGAGTAGTTTCATAAAGAAACATATGAAAATATCGGAGAAAAAACCGGAGACTCTGACTGCACGTAAGAAACCTCTATTTATTAAGTTACAATTTAATGGTGACTTATCAAGCGAGATTTCATTCTAGAAACTTTCAAGGAGTATACGAAGAACATTTTACGTAGCACACCTATGTTTGTCATTCTCTAGCCGATGAATGATTCGGACGCAAACGAAGGATAGATGTGCATTTGTCAATTCAACTGCACCTGCGGTGACAGTTACATTAGGCGTACTACTAGGCAGCTTAGCCAGCCAACATGTTACTGAACATCTCCCATCGTGGTGATTTGGCAAAGGACAGACAAAAACAATCCATAGCTCGATTTTGTCACACTTAATTGATAGTGGTCATGTAGTGGAGAAAACGGGAGCCTTCAAGGCAATTCATCGCATCCCACCGAATCTTTCCAATAGACTTCGTATTCGTCTACTGCATACAGCTGGGGTAATAGGCATTCGAACTATTAAGCCTAAAGTATGCATTTAAAAGAAGTTCGTACAGCCATCATCCCCTCCTTATTGGCCTATTAAGACATAACCAACTAATGACTTCTACACTACCCCTTACTTATATTTCCAAGCCCTGTCTTATCATTCCTTAATCTTATTGTATCTTCATTAAAAATGTGTTTACTAGCCTTTATCGACTACTTCCACCTGAACATTTGTTTGTTTAATCATGCTGTTTTTTCATTATTCGTGTTATCACAGATTGCTTCACTTTTTCATCTTTATTATTGATAAGACCATTATTATTCTTACTATTATTATTATCATTACTACTATTATGACTAATTGCACAATTTATATTCATCATCTTATTATGCTATAGACAAAACACCACGATTGGTTTATATTCGGATTTATATTTGTAAAGTTATGTAGGTATATTAGAGTTAAGCTTGATGAGATCTAATTGAAAACAATATTGTTCGCTTAAATGTGTTGTTCTAAATTTTACTGTGGGAATATTTAATATATTGAAATATCGTTCAATAAAAGTGATCAGACTGGTGTTATAAATGGTAAGTCACAGTTCTACTCAGTGAAAGTGATTTATCAGACTATCGACTACTTGAGACCTATTCGACTTTTGTTTCCACCTCAGTCATCATCTAGCTGAAAATCCCTTCTCCTCAAACATTATTATGACTGCTGTATTTATTTCTAATTTCAGGCTGATCTAGAAGGCCTCTGTCGTGCGGGTGTACCAATTCAATATCGTGAAGGTGTATGGCGTATGCTGATTCATGGGGAATTACATCAGTTAATGCAAATCAAAGGTCCATTGTATTACAATGGACTATTAGAAGAGTTTAGTGAGAATACGGTAAGTAGGAAGGATTAAAAGGGATTGTTTTCGTTTCGTGCATACATATAAACACTATAACAGTCGATGCTAGTTATCCAATTGGTTAGTTAACGATGTTATCGGAAACGCTATATTAATATGGTTGATTAATTAGGCAAATTGGTATTTCCATTAAGGTTAATTGCCACCTAACCTTCACATGTGAAACTCTTAATTCAAAAATATGAAGTAATTAGTTAACATACATACATATATAATAAATTTGATTTGATGTTCACACGGCATAGTAAAAAATACTATAGGATAAACTTAATTTATCGAATAATGACATATATTACTAACCGATGTAAGTAGTTGAAAAATAATCACATAAAAAAGTAGTGCTTGCTAGCTAAATCGAAGTTGTACAGTTACCGTAAGAATGGTACTTTTTATTCTGCTCAAACAAATAACATATACAGAAATGACTTGCTTTATAAGTTACATAATGTTCATGCACACATTGATTCACCCCTAGGAAACAACTAATTTCATAAGTTTGGTTCATAGCACTGACTGAACGCTTTCATTATCTCATTGGTAATGATTACATGATAATATACGCATAAGATAAAGGTTCAGTTGTCACTAAAATGAATGGTTTTTTCAAACAAGTTTGCAAAATAGTCATAAGACTGGGTGCTTCATCGTCAAATTATATTTTGAGTTAATGCTAGGTGATTCCATATTAGTTTGTTTATCAGATGTATGATACAGTCTGTGAAACAGTATTATTACATACTGGATGACAAGGTTTCCAACACAATTTATCACAGTGTTCATAATCATATCACCAAGTATATCCACACAACTTCGAAACTTGAGTTTTATAGTTTTCTTTATTCCTGACTATTTGTCGTCGTTCGGGTAGTAGAATTTTCCAGTTGTCTGCCTGGACAGGTGTTGAATCATTCCTATTACACGTATTTGCAGTTGATTCGATAAACAAAGCTTCCGTTGTTATCAATCTCTCCCTGCACCCTTTGATATTACATTTTAAAACTGTCATCTTATCCCATCCATCCTATTGTATGGTTGTGTGTAACTGCATCTAGTGCTGTGGCTGAACTATTCTCAATTAGAAACAAGCTTTGTCGGTTCAAGCATCCTGTGGAGCCGTTAAAACAAAACAATTTAGTTTATCTAATACTCAGCCCGTAACGATTTTCAGGTCAAATACATAGGTCAAAATAGTAGAACAGGGACAGTCAGACTAGTGGAGCATATAAACCTAACAGCCAAATCTAGATTAGTTGAACCGAATAAGATAAGAAATCTGGAGAATAGTTCAACCGTAGATAGCACTCACTACATGCAATTACACTCAACCATACAATAGGATGGATGGGATAAGATGACAGTTTTAAAATCTAGTGTCACAGGTTGGAGGGAGAGATTGATAACAGAAGCTTTGTTTATCACATCAACTGCAAACACATGTAATAGGAATGATTCAACACCTGTCCAGGCAGACAACTGGAAAATTCTACTACCCGAACGACGACAAATAGTCAGGAATAAAGAAAACTATAAAACTCAAGTTTTCGAAGTTGTGTGGATATACTTGGTGATATGATTATGAACAATGTGATAAATTGTGTTGGAAACCTTGTCATCCAGTATGTAATAATACTGTTTCACTGTGTGATACATCTAATAAACAAACTAATATGGAATTACTTACTACCACAGTGCCCAAGTTTTTACACATCTATTGATGCTAGGTGGTTGTGGACAGCTGGCAAGAAGTCGTAGATTTAGGTTTCGTGCTGTCGAGCACTGATCATCAAGGCATATTTCCACTACAGACTAAATGCATGGCATTTGTTAATCTCCAGCAACCGACCAATGTATCCATTACAGTCCTCCAGGAGATAAATCATGAGATCGAAGAGCTCAGTGTTAGTGTCTTTGATTACAGCCCTTAGTGATGCGTGTTTAAAGCTCTAAGGAGAGATCAGACTCCATCAAGATTGTAGATACCCTATACTAACAGGTGCCAATAAGCACAAAACCTCTTTCTGAATGTCTCTAACCGTCTAACATCAACTGTATATTCACATTCCTGCATAAAACTGAGGAATAAATTGAAAATTCTTTCTCAGATTTCTTATTCGTTTGAATAAGACTTGTAAAAATTTACAGATCAATCCCATTAGACTTCTAGAGGAGGTATTGTATGCATTTCTGTAGCGTTTTTTTAAATTAACTCAGGAGAAATATTTGGTTTAGCCCCCTGAGGGTAGACTGAGAAAGATATTTCCCCCAGCTTGCAGAGTGGAGAATAAAACTAACTTGAGGAAAGGGTTAAGTACAGTTTCTCTTGTCCAAAATTATATATGTTTGTGAATGCAGTCGTAGACAAGATTTTCAATCAAGAACAAGAGAGGAAGTCATTTCTGGAAGTGAAATTCAAAATGCACTAACAATGGAACACCAAATTACGTGTATTTGAATAAGCGCTGATAAGGTTATCATGACTGATGGTGAAACGTTTACGATCAGCGATATATGTAACTTCACCGAAATATTACTCGAATTGTTTAAATATAGAAAAGTAAAGCAACGTTAATCTCTGTGGCTGAATATAACTGAATTATAAACAGACAAGGGTGCTTATTATCACCAATGATATACCTAATTGTGGTGGACTGGATTATGCATCAGACAGTGGGAAACGAGAAGACAGGGATATCCTGGACCGACGTGAAGAATCTAGAAGACCTGGATTTCGCGCGGGGATGATTTATGTTTGATGTCACACAAAATCGAAGACTTACAAGCGAAAACCGACAAACTGGTCGAAGAAGCAGCAAAGACAGGACTCCCAGGTGAACATAGATACAAGACGGAGGTTATGAAAATAACCAACCAACAACGACAAAACAACAGCAACATCCAGCACCAATCACCATCAACGGGAGGGATTTGAAAGAGGTTACTTCATTCACTTATCTAGGGAGCATTGTCTCAACTACAGGAGAGAAACACATTCATCAACCTGAAACCAATCTGGAAATCTTCCGCTGTCACTCAGCCTGCATCAACAACAAAGTGATTCGGATTTTCAATACAAACGTCAAGTCAGTCAGTTCTTCTATACGGATCAGAAACTTGGCCGATCACAAAGAATATTTCCAACAGCCTATTGCAGACCTTTATCAACAACTGTCTTCGCTCTATACTGAAGATCAGATGGCCGGAAAGAATCACTAACAAGAAACTATGGGAACAAACAAAACAAGAACCAATCGCTCAACAAATATGCAGGAGAAAGTGGAGATGGATTGGACACTCTTTGAGGAGGCCGTTGGGTGACATCGCGTGTCAGGCCAGTGCTCGAGTGGAACCCGAAAGGGAAGCGGCGAGTGGGACGTCCAAGGGTGACATGGAGGAGATGGTGTGAAGAGGAGTTGAAACAGTATGGACTAACATGGATGCAGGTGAAAAGTACAGCAGAAGACAGAAGCAAGTGGAGGCGTGTAGTTGAAGCCCTATGTTCCACTAGGAAACCAAGGGAACAATAATAATAATAAACAGTTATAAGCTGCACAGGAAGTCATCTGATGAAGATAAGTCATCCCACTGGCTTAAAGACATCATAACAGATTAGTTCATCAGATTTCAGATCGAAAAGGTAGTTCAAATTAGGGTGCAAGTAATCGTTATTTTGAAGGTATACTTATGCATATGAAAAACAACCTTTGCAATTAGTTGTATTCTCTGAGGAGCTGGTTGGTTTAATTGCAGAGCTGTCGTCGTCTCGCTTCTAGACAACATCTTCGGCGCAAGTTTTAGCATAAAGTGAACTGATTTAAATTCTCCATGAATGATAGAATTGCGTCTCCTGGCAACCATCTTCATGACTGGTAGTCGATTTACATCTGTACTGATCACTTGGAATATACTCATAAATTAATAAACATCAGATGTGAAGACGTCAAATTCACAAGAGAAGAAGAATTAGGTGACAAATTTCCATTTTTTAGATGTCTTCATCAGGAGAACTCACACAGGAAATTTAGAAACACAAGTATATAGAAAATCAACGCACACAGATCAAATACTCAACCATAATAGTAACAGACCGAATACCCACAAAAGAAATTGTATGCAGACATTGTTTAAAAGAGTTCAAACACACTGTAGCACTCCAGTGTTGAAGAGAATGGAGGAAAAATACCTACTAACCGTCTTCAGAAAGAATAGATATCCCCCTAACAATTTTATTAAAAAGTGTTTAAAATCGAGTCACAACACCAACAAGAAACCATCATCAAAGACTACAAGGAAATTCATCCTACCATATATAAAAAATATCTCTGAAATAACAGCTACAATGTCGAACCCGTTTGAAATAGAAATAGCACACAAGCCAGCCAGCCAACACCATCACACTTCATCCGATATTGTGCAAACGGAAAGATCCAACAGAAAAAGAAGAAGATAAAATTAATACCATTTACAAAATAAATTGTATGAACTGTAACAGACATTACATCGGCCAAAGTAGGCGTCCCCTTCGAATCAGAATCCAGGAACACAAATCAGCTGTGAAAAGACATGATATATATTATTTCATATCAATGCATGTAGATAATTATGGACATCAATTTGATGATTGGGATAATGTCGAAATTTTAAACAGGGGAAACACCAAAAGTGCAGCCAGAGAATTCCTAGAAGCCTGCTACTCAAGCGAATCAGCTAGGGATTAACAAACACGTTAATATAGACCAAATCTACCAACGAATAAACAGTAAATCACATGTGACAAGAAAGTTCAAAATCACAGTCAATAAAAAATGATCAGTACAGATGTAAATCGACTACTGGTAACGAAGATGGTTGCCAGGAGACACAATTCTATCATTCATGGACAATTTAAATCACTTCACTTTACGTTAAAACTTGTGCTGGAGATGTTGTCTAGAAGCGGGACAACGAAAGCTCTGCAATTAAACCAACCAGTTCCTCAGAGAACACAACTAATTGCAAATTATCCACCTGAGCTACAAATCTTCTCTATTATTTCGAAAAACAACCTTTGTTTTCTATACTCACTAATATCTGTCCGCATTAAAAAAAACTAAGCGACATAATTATGGTTGGACTTTAGACTACTTCAAATGTGCATAATAATGGAACATTGTTTATTAATTAGATTTTTTTAAATATATTTGTAATAATTGCCCGTAAAAAAGTATTATTCGAATAACTTTCTAATATTGTTACAGTTATTCGTTATTTCCATTACTCTGTAATACATCATGTAACATAAATTCCAAATTAATGTTGATATATACTGATCACGTATGAACACTAACTGCGTGTTTGATGTTGTGTATGTTTCGGGTTGTATGGTGTTTGATTGATTTCAAGGTGGGATTTCAACAAAGCAGGAATTAGGGTAGCATTCAAACCTACACACTCACTCAGGTCGGACAAGCTCTGTAGCTTGAAGGACCCTGTAGGCTGACCTAATTAAACAAAATAATATAATTTACAGAACACCTTGCAATGACTGTGAGTCAAGTCAACCACATAGGTCAGTCAAACTAGTAGATCAAGCAGGAGTAGTGAGATTATCAGAACATAAGAATTTAGCTAAAGTTAGAATGATTAATTTAGAGAAAAACTCAGCACTTGTACTGCATACATTAACACACAACCACACAATAGGCTGGGTGGAACAGAGTTGAAATTCTAAAGAGTAATATGGGTAGGTGGAGAGAGAAAGAGGTTCATTGAGTCTACACCCAACACATGCAACAGAAATGACTTAATGCAAATACCAGAGATATAGAAGTGTGAGTGACTTGATATGATTATGAGTGGCAATAATTTGTGCTCGAAACGCGGTCATCAGTTAATATTACTTTACAACACACTGTGTGACTTATCAAAATAATATCTTATCCATAAAGGATAGGTAGGTAAATTTTGTCAATGAGCTGACATTAGTCATACAAAGAGAGAGAGATAGAGCTACAGGAAACCAAAGACTCCTTGATAGCAGTTCTCTTCTATTTCGGGACTCTTCAGCTCTGCACACCTATGGTCCCAGTGGAGATCAAACTCAGAACTTTCAGCCAATTCCTTTTCCCATGCAGTGGCCAGGTTATAGTTCAGTGATTTACACACCAACTAGCATGACTAGTCATTGCGAAATTTCACTACACTACAGAAAAATTAGTGACTAAAAATGAGTATAGAAACTAAATTTTATCCCTGCGCGTCGGTGGCACAGTGATTAGGACTCTCATCGACCAGCCATATTGTCCGAGGCTCGATCCCCTGCCGACGCACATCTGAAATCAATGGTCAGCCTTCAAAGTTTAGGCTGCTGATATCGCATGCTGAGAATTCCATACTTCTATTGAAAAAATGGTGTGGAATCAAGCTGTTATGAAAAATAAAGAATAAAAGAATAGGAAATGTTACATCATTAAACTTGAAGAACTATTCAGCATTAACTATTTTAGCATGTCGTCATTAATCATGTATCACAGGCAAGCGAATGCCAAAGCAAGTTAAATATTTTTCGAGTACATTAGTTTACCTAGTACTTTCACAGTTTCATACATTTCTTCCCCTTAATGAATTTGAAGAAAGCGAGAACTACAATTTTTGCAGAATAAAGGGGTACCATCATTTATTTCGTCGCCTTCTCATCGTCTGCCTACAGGCCAAAATCATTATTAAGTTTATCTACAGAAACAATTTTAACATACTCACAACACCGAGAGTTCATTCTAAACAAAATTCAATCGATCAATATATGCATACAGTAATTATATATATATATATATATATATATATATTCCGAACGAAAATGATCATACACAGTGGAAACTTTTTGGCATTACGTATTCAGATGAAAGAGAGATGAAAATATCCAGTTACCAGGCAGGGTAAAGAAAGACTGATGCCTGTTTCTTTCTGAACGCACAAATCAGATTTCAGCCGCTTCTTGGAGATGGCTTCAGCAAAGTTGAGGAGAACTGAGCTCTTTGCCTACCGATAATTTTGAACTCAATTTAGAAGTCATAAGTTATTCTCGCCACAGATTAATTGCTTTGAAAATGAACTATGTTCATGATTTGATTAAGAGATCACAAATTCTATATGGCGGTGGCATTTTTCATCTTTAATACTGTTGTAAACAGATAGTGGAAGTAGAAGATGCTAGATTTCGTACTTGTTTGGTCTCCTCAACTACTCTATGAATTGTTATCTTGTAGTTCTTTAAAGAACTATTATTCTGTCAAAGTTGTACAGATCATCTTTCTTATGAAGTAAACATCTTTCATCAGAAAACTCTAGAACTTTAAGGAAACCAACATTTGCGTCAGTCCATGTTAAAATAGATCATAAAGCTTAAAGCTACAAGAATGAATGACGACCACATGAGTCTCACTCAGTATTATTCTATTCTAATTACTTACTTTTCATACTTAACAACAGCTCTGTCAATATTATTCTCTTGGTCTCAGAGTGGGGCGCAGATCTTCATTCCATCCTGTTTTCCTCGGTTATTTTTAGCTGGCTGTCCGACTGCCCATAAGTTTCCATCCCTTCCTCTTCACACGATCTCTTTCATGTCACACTCGGACGTCCAACTCGTTGTTTCTCATTCAGATTCTACTCGATAGCCTGCCTAGAGTGTAACATCATTTAACGGTCTCGTCAGTGTATCCTCAATTTACCCCTATTTCCTTCGGCATACTCAGTCGAGTGATAAGTTCTTGCCAGAGTTTCTCATTACACATCTTTTCTAGACATCTGACTTTCAGCACTGAACCAGAGAAATTGTAAATCGATGAAAATCTATTGAAAAACCTTTTGATGACCTGCCAAGTCTTGGAAGCATACAGAAGCACTGACTGTATACTACTGTTTTAAACTCCAGATACTGCTTCTTATTTCTGAGTGCAGTAGATCTGCACACTGATTTCGGGGTGACGAAGGTCTCTGTCGGTCTTACACTCCTTGATTTTAGCATACTTATCTGTGCTGCTTGTAATTTCACGAATTCATACAGTATTTTTATTCCTCCTAGTTACAATGATTACACTTCATATTTGACTTGTAAGTTTTAATCAGCGTGTAGACAACTGAAGAATCACATGCATAAACTATCCAAATTATTATTATTATTATTGTTCCCTTGGGTTCCTAGTGGAACATAGGGCTTCAACTGCACGTCTCCACTTGCCCCTGTCTTGTGCTGTACTTTTCACTTGCGTCCATGTTATTCCATACTGTTTCATCTCCTCCTCACACGATCTCCTCCATGTCACCCTTGGACGTCCCACTCGCCGCTTCCCTTTCGGGTTCCACTCGAGCACTGGCCTGACGCGCGATGTCACTCAACGGCCTCCTCAGCGAGTGTCCAATCCATCCAAATAATCAGCTCATATGAAGCCCATCTGTAAATACAAAAATTCAAGATAGACAGAGATTACTTTCAGTTAAATCAAAAAAGTTTATCAATGTTACTTCTTTGTTATATATGTCCAAACCAAGTTCGCTTTTAACAGTTTGAAAAAAATTTGGGCATTGGGTATATGATATTCATTATAATAAAGGTTTTTGTATTTCCAAATGAATAAGTGAAAAACAAAACGATATAGCTGTTTTTACTGACGTTTCGCTATTTAATGCTGTTAATAGCTTTATCAAAGTATTATTTAACCGGAATTTACAAAATATCAGCATATATATGACAAAGAGTTGAGGGGTGAGAAAATAGACTTAGGTCAAGTTAAAAGGGCATATTGAAAGTTACTAAGCCAAATAACAAAGGTAATAGTACATCTGTTATGGTATCAAAACAAAGTTTACTAACTTGATCATCGTTCGTTAGTCTGGGGTCATTTTTCGTTGTCAAGTTGGTCAATTGGTAAAGATAACAAAATCAAAATCAATTGTAGATTGTTGGATTTGATCAGTATTTAAAATTATAAAGGCAATGTGTGTGTTTACATAGTGAACTTGCATATCACATTCGTGTTGATTTTGTCACTTGATGGGGGAGGGAGGTGTTGTAACCAGGTCAGATTCTGTTTTAGTCCATCATTCCTATTCAGACAATTTGGATTCCACTTGATATGAAGTGCTTCTGATGATATTAGACGTTCTTTGTGATTTCTGAAGTTTTTCTGGATTATTTCAATATTTACTTCTTTGTACTTTTTTAATGCATTTAGCTTGCAGCCCAACACAGACGTCAAATTTCATTGGATTTATTGAGGACAATGCCAAATAATGTACAATTCGATAATATTGATGCACCAGGCGTAAGAAACATTAATATTTTTGTTACTAATATTACTATATTATTATAAGTATTATTATTGTTTCCTTTAATTCCTAGAGGAAAATAGGGCTTCAGCCGAACGTCTCCATTGCGTTCGGTTCTCTGCTAGAGTCTTCACCTGGCTCCAAGTCTGCCCACACGCTTTCATCTCCTCTTCACATCACCTCCTCCAAGTCACCCACCCTCGCACTGACGACCAACTCGCCACTTCCCTTTCGGGTTCCACTCGAGCAATGGCTTGTCTAGTGATGTCACTTGATGGATTGTTTCCTCAGAGTATGGCCAGTCAGTCCATCTCCATTTCTTCCTGCCTATTTCTTTCACAATCGGTTCCTGCTGAGTTGGTTCGCTCATTGCCAGAGATCCCTGTTGCTGATCTTTTCTGGCCGGTCGGCCATCTGATCTTGAGTATTGAGCGAAGACAGCTAGTGTTGATGAAGGTCTGTAGTTTGTTTGAGATGCTCTTTATGACGCGCTGGCCAAGTCTCTGATCCGTATATTAAGTAGCACTGACTTCACATTGGAGTTGAAAATCCAGATCTTATTTTTGATTCTGAGTGCTGTTGACCTCCACACAGACTTGAGAGTAGTGAAAGCTTGTCTTGCTTTTCCGATTCTTGCTTTGATATCCTCATCAGTTCCGCCTGTAGTTGAAACGATGCTTCCCAGGTAGGTAGGTGAAGGAGGTTGTTTCTTTCAGGTTCCTTCTATTTATGCTGATTGTTGTCTGTTGTTGTTCTTGTCCAGGAATCTTCATCACCTCTGTTTTCTCTATGTTCACCTGAAGTAAGTCCTATCTTCTCTGGATGCTTCTTCTAACAACTTGTTGCTTTTCACTTACATATCTTCCAGTTTGTGGGAAATCAGACATAGATATATCATCGGCGAAGTCCAGATCCTCCAAGTTTTTTGTGTCAGTCCATTTTATTATAAGTATATAGTAATTTAATGTTGCTTTCGGAAGCTATATCTACAGGCATTTGTTAGAAAAGCTGGTTAGTAGAAGGACGCAAATTGTCAGTCTTCTGCAGCTCGTTTATTTCTCTTTCTACTCACTAACGTATGAGTACCATCTGATAATCATGACTGCTAGTCAACTGATTATATAGCACAGATTCCTCCGCTAAGTTATTAATTCAGTGCATCGGCTAAGGTTATGATTATCTGACAACAGGCATTTTTTTAAACTGTGTTAAATAAAGTCATACTGTGGTGAGAGCTGTCTGCAAGCCAAATATGTAGACAACAATTTACGACAATGTTCACTTCCCGGATCGGGGTCATGAGAAAAAGCAACAACAAAGCCTAACCTTGAGGAAATCACCAGCCAATCACAGCGGAGTTAAAGTGTGGAAATATGATGACTTGATTTTCTGAGAAACGGCCACAAAGAGATGACAGAATAACCTTCAGCGAGAAAACAACCAACCAGAAGAGGTTGCTTCTCCGCTAACATTAACGCTAATATTAATGTACATAAAAATCTATAAATATCTGTTGATTTTCTCAATATAACCATCTGTTGCCTGGCCCTTGTCTTCTGTCGTTACAATACTATTTCATTAGGTTTTGTTTGCTTCGTATCGAAAACTGAACCCAGGTAAAAACAGATATTGGGTGTGAGAGAATGTAATCGATTCTAAAGTTGATGGCATCGCCTAAGAAACCTTTAAAAACCCTAGAGTACTTACTGGATAGATACTTCGTTCAAGTTTCAGACTTTCTAGTGACATACACTACGACAACACATAAGGTGTCCAACCCAAGTGAGTTTAACTACAAGAGCGAACTCATAACCATTCAGTCAGTTGGTTAAAAAATCCAGTGGCTCGTGAATTCTTAGTTTAAGGATACAATGCATATTATTTGTATCTATGCGTGTATAGAACAGTGTCTACTGAGAAGTTGAGTAATAGACCTAATTCTGGCCATTCAGCTATCAACTTTAAAACAAAATCGCACTGCAGCATAATAAATTTTCTAATTTATTCGAAGTACATATAATGAAGTGAGTATATTGCAGTATTTAATGCCAATTCTCGGTTGAATTCATTGATGATTTCAATTAGTTTTGAAGTTGTATTGTAACAACAGAAGACAAGGGCCAGACAACAGATCGTTTATTAAGGAAAATCAACACACATTTATAGATTTTAATGTACATTATTGTAGATTATTGTTAGTAGAAAATACAGTCTGTTGATTGGTTGTTTCTCACAGAAAGTTAACCTTGCATCTCTTTGTGGCTGTGTCAGATCATCTACATACTAACTGTATCCACTAACGCGAAGCCTTTGTTCTCATTTTCTCACCACCAATATTGGGGACATAAATATTGACATCAATTACTGTCTACCAACTTTGGCTAGCAGCCAGCTCTCACCACAGTATAAGCTCTTGTAGATTTGCGACAGTGGATGTGAGACCCTCGATTGACCTCAATAAAGTAATACAACTACCTACCACTAAGATGTGTGCAGTATCTCTCAAAAAACAGTTGCCAGATGAAATCATATCATGTACAAAAGCTGTACATTTTTGATCACCACTAGCCTTGCATCATTAGTACATCCGACAACCGGGATATTAGCTCAAAAAAACAATTTATCGTCAGCATTTACATCTCAACTCACAAATATATAATGCAAACAGCAAACAGATTATGGAAATTCTTGTTTCTGATATCAGTGGTTAATTTTTCCTAATAATAAAGCTTTATTTCAGACAATATGTGAACATGTGTAACGACAGAAGACAGGGGCCAGGCAACAGACCGTTTATTGAGAAAATCAACAGATATTTATAGATTTTTATGTACATTATTGTTCATTATTATTAGCAGAGAAACAGAGTCTTCTGGTTGGTTGTTTTCTTGCTGAAGGTTATTCTGTCGGCTCTTCGTTACCGTTTCTTAGATAGTCCGTTGATGCATCTGCGAATCGTTTCCGCTTACGCATAGACAGCTGTGATTGGTTGTTCAGTTCCACAAAGTTAAGCTTTGTTCTTGTCTTCTCTTCTGACCCCGATTTGGGACGTAAACATTGACGCGTAAATTGCGGTCTACAATTCTGTCTTCCAGACAGCTCTCACCATACATATAGTGCAGAAGTTTTCAGCCTTCCAAAACATTTCGTCTTTGCATAGGATTTACATATAAACTGATAATCCAAAGTGTATTATATGACGTAGCTTTGTTGCATATGAAGAGAGAATCAATTCTATACATATTTTCTCTATTTCCTACAAGAATCTCACAGCGTTCACTTGGAAGCTAATTCAATATATGCTCAAGTTCATGTAGTGATCAGTTGATATAATTGCACGATTAAAACAATAAGAAATGTAGACGATTTTTGGTTGATTGATTGAAGGATTGAAGGATTTCATCGTGAGCGGACATCAGTTAGAGAACCATTGGGAAACCACCTGGGAGTAATGGACAGCTGTTTCGTCCTAGTGCTTGGGACTCTTCAACAGTGCACACCCACCGGGACGAAACAGCTGTCCAATACTCCCAGGTGGCCAGAAGAAGTCACCAACAAGGTTTAAACATTTTGTTTGACTGTTTGTAGTTACTAGTGGAATACAGGATGCCCGTTTCGTCCCATTCGGACTACATCACTGCACCCCCTTATATGCCAGTTGACCTGAAAGCCTCTTTACCAGAAGTTGACATCCCAAAGGAAAGTGACCACTTCGGTTGAATGAAGTTAAACAACGTGAAATTTATAAACCTCAATAAGTAGCAATTTGTTCACCTTCCACTGTTATATATTACTTATAAAATTTAGTATTAGGCAACAGATCATAGTGAATATCCATAATTTAATGTGTATCTTTATTTCAGGTTCAAAAGTTACAAGAAGTTTTGCAGGCTTACAGTATACATAATTCTAAGATTGGATATTGTCAAGGCATGAATTTTCTTGCTGCAGTTGCACTTTTATTCTTAAAAAAAGAGGATGCTTTCTGGTTAGTTTTAAAAGTTTTAATTTAATTTAAATTTACCATGTTACTGGCCTTTTTAAAAAAATCACTTCAAGTTTCCTTACGAAATGACATGAGTTGGAGAATCAGCGATGACATTGGACAGGTGCTTCTTTTTTTTAGTTTGAAACTATTCGGCTTAGCATGCACCAATGATTCTAAACTACGATGAGATTGCCATCCAGTTCTTCGTGGATTTCAATGGGTTTCCAGTTAAGTAATATTGGCTCTTGATCACGAATCAAACATCAGTGGTAGAACCACTGAAAACCACAGAGTACTGGACAGCCGTTTCGTCCTATTTCGGGACTCTTCACAGTACACACCCACCGGATTTCGAACCCAGGACCCTCCGGTTACAAGGCGAGAGAGTTCGTAGACCATTCAGCAGCCACTGGGACCCGACCCAGTGGCCAGGCAGTCCATGAAATCCAACTTCTGCCAATTCACGACATAGCACGACTGCTGGCCAATGTCTTCGGCGAGTATTTGTCCTCACAATAGACCAGCTGCACCCTACTGGTGATGATGAAATCCTGTAATCAATCAATCAAATCCCTACAAACTAATACTTGAATAAGAATGAAGTTTCTTAGAATTCTAGAGCGTAGTCCTGATTAGTGAGCTCAACCAGGCTAAGCGTGAGGACAAATACTTGCCGGCGATTTCCGCTGGTGGTTGTGCTGTATATCACAAATCGGTAGAAGTTACGATTCGTGGGCAGTTAGTTCCTATCCTAATGCCTGAATGGTCATTGATCTTGCCATGCAATCTCAAAGTTCTGGTTTTGATCTATAGTGGGGCATGAGTGAGTGCTGATGAGGGATCCCAAATTGGGACGAAACACCCCTTCAATGCTTCTTAGCTTTCAGTAGTTCTCTAACTAAACTCAGCTCACAATCGAACTTTAAAAAGTTTGAATTTCGCCTGAACCAAACCAAATTTTCTGCAGAAAGTAAAACAATGACGGTAGAGGCTCCCAATCTAATAATAATAATTATTATTATTCTGAAAAATGAATTTATATAGAGTGAAGAATTCTCAGCATATTTTGATCAATATAAGAAGGACAACTACAGAACTCATCACTATAGTCCATCCAACTAATACTATCAATGTTCCAGTTGTCTTTATACAATAATTAATCACAGAAATTTTATAAATCTCTAATTTATTTTTTTAGGTGTCTTATTGCTATTTTGGAAAGATTTCTGCCAGAAAATTATTTCAATTCAGGTTTAATTGATGCTCAAGTTGATCAACTTGTACTTAAAGAGATTGTGAATGAAAAATTACCTCGACTTTCAAATCATCTAAAGCGTATGGGGATTGATATTTCTGCGGTTACATTAAATTGGTTTTTAGCTGTATTCTATGATTCTGTTCCATTCGAAGTGAGTGCTGTTTATTATTTCTGTTGTATTTTCCCTTTCAAATAATAATCTGCTTTATTCCAAAAGAGCAGTACTTATAATATAGAATGGAATTCTCAGCATTTGTCACAATATTGCATCTGATTTACTCAAAATATAAATAAAATTAAAAATTAAAACAAAATTAACCAGAGGAATTTGTCCACATTTACGATATAAAGTCAAAGTATTCGAAGCACGAATTGAAAATATTAAATGTAGTAATAATAATAATAATAACAGTGAGTTTGTTTCAAACAGTATTGTCGATTCAGTTTGGAAATTTTAGCATGTTATAGATTATTGAATCTAATGTTCTGTTGAGATAGAATGGTGAGGGGAAATACAAAATTAACAGTTATAACGCAGCTTAAATGAATAAAAAATAAAAACAAAAAATTGAGAGGATTATAAATATAAGAAGTACAATAACAATAAAGGTTGATGTTGTAAGGGTGGAGGAAATGGTTTATTTACTAGTGCAAAGAAGGTTAGTTCATGCCTAACACTATTTTCATCATATAAAATACGTGCCAAATATGGTATAGTGGAATTTTTATACTTAGACGTACGTGCATAAAGTCTTCTGAAAAGACTTCTTGTTTTACCTGAGGAGACACAAGGTTGGAGCTGCTGGTAGAGTGGGTGCTCAGAGTCTGACAAAATTCCTATGGCGTATTTGTTGCATGACATCAAGTGCCTATGAGTGACAATGTCAACGATATGGCCCAATAGGATACTACTCGTCCTACTGACAGTCTTCAGAATTCTAAAAAGTATGACAGTCGTTTTTAAGCAATCCAGGAAAGAATAAGGGTGAACAGTAAAGAAGAATAGGTAAAATACACGAGTTGACAAACTGTGAGAGGAGGGTTTGGGTTATGCCTTAGTGCTTTAACCTCTTCTTAATGTAAAAAGTCAGACGAAATATTCTTTTAGAAATCGCTAAGACATGTGAGGACCAGGATAGGTCAGAAGAAAGAATTAATCCAAGATACTTAACTTCAGACTTGCTTTCTATATCAGTATCATCAATTTTGCAAGGTTCATAGGAACCAACAGCTTCTTAATATATGGGTAAAACTTGGGCACTGTGGTAGTAAGTAATTCCATATTAGTTTGTTTATTAGGTATATCACACAGTGAAACAGTATTATAATTATTATTATAAATTTCCGAGCCAAAAGCAGATGTTTAATCCAGGAAGGTGCAACGAACAAATTTAGCCCCCTTGTCCAAACTGGAGACAATGTTATAATGCAAGACTGCAGCTGCATCTCAAGTACTTCTACTATGTTTATAGGCGAATTGTTTGGGCTCGTTAAAGATTTTAAGTGAGGGTTGAAGATTAAGTAAGAGAAACTTTTCCATAGTTTTTAGAAAAGGAGAGGTAATAGCAATAGGTCTGAATTTAGAACATGTTCCAGTAGATGATTTGGATATAGGTACAATTTTAATGTCCTTCCGAACAGCTGGCACGACATTTCTGGAAAAAGGTTCATTAAATGTGTCCATGAGAGGATAACACAGGATAATCTAAACGATAAATAAACGGTTTGATTTAGCTGACACTGTGTGACACTGAACGTGATTGATTGTCTTCGTGTTTTCACACCCTCTAGGCTACTTGTATTGTAACTGATTGTTTCCTTGACTTGAACTTTGACCCTTTGTTTATGAGATTTCCTTCTTACCGATTGGTAAATTTTCACTATCTCGATTTGTGTATTGATTGACGATTCACTGGAATACAAGACAGGCTACTGAAAATTCTCTGGCATTCCTGGTGTTTCCTCTGTCTAATATTTGAGTGTTGGTTGTCCCAGTCGAATTGATGTACATGGTTGTCCGTATGCAGCGATATGAGGGAGTGGATGTCTTGTCTTTTGACGGCTATTTTATGCCCATGGGTACGAATCGATACCAATCGATAAGAAGGAAATCTCATATACACAAAAGGTCAAACTTCAGATGAGGGAAACAATCACTTCCAATACAAATAGCCTAGACGGTGTGAAAACACACAAAAACTACCAATCACATTCAAGGACACCCATCAGGAAAGATAACTAATAAACTCGTGGAGGAATCTAATAGCTCACCTCAACAAATTGAAGTATGCGTTGAAGATGTTGCCTAGTATAGTGGGGCAATGAAAACTTCGCAAATAAACTATCCAGCTCAGAGAACACAACCACATCAAAAAAGACTTTGTTATACTGCATAGGGCGCTAAAAGCCGTCAGCAGAGCGAGTGAGCGTGTTGCTTAACCAACTCGTCAATACTACTATACTGCAAGGAATTAGCAAATATTATCCTGTCAGACTCCGAACATCCTCTCCATACACAAATCTCTCCCTGCATACCATCGGGTAGAACTAGAAGCAACTATAGAAGACTGTAATCTCGGACGACTAACTACAAAAACTCTACAATACCTTATTATTTGTCAGGCACATATTTTATGTGATGAGAAAAGTGTGTAAGACAAGAAATTACCAACTTACTGAGGAACTCTAAGTAAACGACTTGCTTTTTGTTCTCATTATTACAATGTCGCTAATGTTTTCACTTAATTTAATTTTATATTCACTTCTTATTGAACAATATTATTAATGTAAATGCCCTATTTTAATTATCCCACATGTAATGAGGAAATTAGATGCAAAATTGTATTACATGCTGAAAATTCCATATTTGAACCGAAAATACTGTTTGGAATAAAGCTATTATATATATATATATATATTTGTAAAAAAATTATATTTGTAAAGTCTCAGCGAGATTGAAATGAGTAATTCCAACGTTTCGTTCGGCAATCTGGTCCGAACTTCTTCAGGGAAATTAATCGAAATTAACACAACAGAGGTTTATATATAAAAGGAACATCACTTGTTTTTAAAAAACTTTGTCCAATCATGAGTCATTCAACAAGTATCAACAAGTATATTAAACAAAATTTTATGAGCTGTGATCAAAATTTGACCTCGGACTTACAAATATTGGTCTACCTTTGTAAAACACTTTAAACAGAGTGTGTATGTGTGTGTGTGGGTAATCAGTTGTAAAACATTTCTTAACGTTTCCATAAGAAGATATGGACAGTTGAGAATTTTCACCAAGTATTAATAATTAGTGATACATATCCATTTTTCATTTATTAATAGGGATTTCCTATGCATCAGCTAACATCACGCCTTCATGTCTGTTCAAACTGTTAGTATCTAGAATTTTATGATTAGACGTATTTTCAAAATTATAGTGTTTAGGATTAGAGTTTAGTAGAAGCACCCTGTCGGCCTTATTTCTTTGTCTTCTTTCTGAATATTGAGCTGCTTTATTCGACCTACTGGAGTTGTCAAGTGACTCGACAACTACGGATTTAGGATATGCATTCTGTTTCAGACAACAGAGAGTGAAAACACGATGACTGTGCCAATTACATAGTTTCTTTGTTAATTTAATTAGATTGCAAAATAATTCAAATGAACTGTCGTCAAGATCCCCTGCCGACGCACACCTCATATCTATGGTCAGCCTGCGAAATTTGGGCTACCGATATCACATGCTGAAAATTCCATACTTGTACCAAAAATACGGTGTGGAATCAAGCTGTAATCACAAAAAAAAGATTTGACAGAATAGTTCTAGTTGGAATTACTCATTTCAATCTCGCTGAGACTTTACAAATATATTTTTTTTTACAAATGTCTACTTCTCACTTGGCGCCCAAATATTTTAGAACTATTCTGTCAAATCTTGACGACAGTTCATTTGAATATATATATATATTATAGCTTGATTCCACACCGTATTTTCGGTACAAGTATGGAATTTTCAGGATGTCATATCAGTAGCCCAAAGTTTGCAGGCCGACCATTGATATCAGGTGTTCGTCGGCAGGGGACCGAACCCCAGACATGATGCCTGTTCGACGAGAGTCCTAACCGCTGTTCAGCTACTGATATGCATAAATTAGTTCAAAATCATATGATATGGAAGGTTTGGGAAGCCTTTAGGCCAATAAAGGCAAAATAATTACAGAACACTCAAGTGACAAGTGTAATAAGAATGACACAGCCATCGATCCACGAAATATGGAAGATTTCATTATGAAAATAATAGGAATGATATTGAATGATATAAAGCAAGTTAAAAAGACAAGTCATCTGACCACTTCGATATAATTGTGAGCAGTCAAGTTTCGCTCCAAATATTATATAATCGACAATACTGTCTCTTTGTCTGTCATATCAAATGTGGTATTATTAATAGCCACCTCAGCTGTCATCAGCTGGGATGTACGTGTAGCTGACTGATGAGTCTCATGAGAAAAAAGAAAATCTGTTTTGAATCTCATCTCACCCGCCTTGCGCCGCGGGTTGGCCACCCCTCCTCACACCTCTTGAAATGCTCCCATATGACCGGGCGTCTTACATAGCCTCTCCTGAGGAAGTCCTACTCACTGCCTTCACGTGGCGGAGGTGTTTTTCACCAAAGTGAGAGGGCGAAAGCGGATGCCCGGCGCTCTTCACCGGGTTGACAGTCTAGGGGAGATGGCTAAACCCTGATTCCAAACCTCCAACGACTGGCGTATGAAGCTCACTGGAGCTCACCGGCAGACGTATGGACAAAGGGCTTGTTGGATGTCCTGGCGTATGAACCGAACTCCGGTCACCGGCTGCCAATGGATAGTGGACTCCCTACTCCACTCCTACTGCCTTGTAGATCACACTTGGTTGTGTAAAGGCTAGAGCTGCACTCTCAAAGAAAAGGCCGAGCGATTCTGGGGACATCACTCGTACCAAATTCCCATGAAACTTCATGAACTCTCTTCTTGGCGATGTCGCAGGGGTGGACAGCTGAAAACATGGCTTGGTACAGTCAAGGCTGATATGGAGTGCCTGGGGCTACAAACCGTCTACGGACTCCGTCTGTGGAACAAGAATTGGATAACCCTGTCGCAAAACCTTGCATCAGATCGCCGCGCCTGGGCAGCGATGATTCGAGATGTTCATGAAGCCGGCTCATCCTCCCGTAGGAGATAGCCGAAGTAAAGTAAAGTAAGTCACCAACCAAATCTAGCAAGTATCATTATATTCAGTATAAGTATGACTGAATGTTTTTTTTTTCTTTTCTATTGTACAAATTGAGATTATAAATGTTTAATTTGTTTTTTATGACCAACAGACATTAATACGAATATGGGATGTATTTCTTCTAGAAGGTTCAGAGTCATTATTTCGTTTCGCTGTTGCTGTACTTAAACGTAATCAAGATATGCTTTTAGAACAAACTGATACTATCAGTTTTTGGAAGTGTCTTAAAGCAGCAACACGTTTAACTTATGATGTTGATGGTTTAATTAAAGTGAGTTCATGTTCCCTTTTTGGAAATAATGATTTATGAAATATGAATTTATTCTAACCTTGAGAGAAATAAACACTTCATGTAGTACAACTAGATTAGTAGAAAACAGTTACAATTTCAGGGAGATAAATCCTGAGCATTCACTTCTCAATATAGAATATTATTATATTACTATTGTTTCCTTTAATTCCTAGAGGCGCATAGAGCTTCAGCTGCACGTCTCCAATGCGCTCGGTTCTCCGCTAACGTTGTCACCTGGCTCCACGTCTACCCACATGCTTTCATCTCCTCTTCACATGACCTCCTCCAAGTCACCCACCCTTGCACTGACGACCAACTCGCCGCTTCTCTTTCGGGTTCCACTCGAGCGATGGCTTGTCTAGTGATGTCACTTGATGGATTATTTCCTCAGAGTATGGTCAGCCAACACACCTCCATTTCTTCCTGCATATTTGTTGCCCAATCGGTTCCTGCTGGAATGGTTCGCTCAATGCCAGAGATCCCTCACTATTACTGATCTTTTCTGGCCAGTCATCTGATATTGAGTAGTATTGAGCGAAGATAGCTGTTCGTGAAAGTCTTTAATTTGTTTGAGGTGCTCTTTATGACGCGCAGTGCAAGTCTCTGATCCGTATATTGAGTAGCACTGAATTCACATTGGAGTTGATAATCTGTATCTTATTTTTCATACAGACTTGAGAGGAATGAACGCTTGCCTTGCTTTACCGATGATCCTGCCTTCAATATCGTCGTCACTTCCACCTGTAGTCGAAACGATGCTTCCCAGGTAGGTAGGTATGTTGGTGAAGGAAGTTACTCCTTTCAGATTCCTCCAATTCATACTGGCTGATTGTTGTGTGCTGTTGTCGCTGTTGCTGTTGGCCAGGAATCTTCATCACCTCTGTTTTCTCTGTGTTCACCTGAAGTGCTATCTCTGATGCTTCTTCTGCCAACTTGTTGCTTTTCGCTTGCATATCTTCCAGTTTGTGAGAAATCGTCGCCCTCCCCCTGTCTATCGCAAATATTAATTACTGAATTGTGGAATATATGACTGCTCATTCTCAGAAATGTTAATATGCAAAAATAAACATTATAATAAAGGTTTTTGTATTTCCCAATGAATGAGTGAAAAACAAAACGATATTGTTTTTACTGACGTTTCGCTATTTAATGCTAATAGCTTTATCAAAGTATTATTAAACCGGGATTTACAAGATCTCAGGGTGAGAAAATAGACTTAGGTTAAGTTAAAAGGACATATTGAAAGTAAAAATAACAATGAATATCACTAAATCAAATAACAAAGGTAATAGTACATCTGTTATGATATCAAAACAAAGTTTACTAACTTGATCATCGTTCGTCTGTCTGGGGTCATTTTTCGTTGTCAAGTTGGTCAATTGATGTAAAGATAACAAAATCGAAACCAAGTGTAGATTGTTGGATTTGATCAGTGTTTAAAATTATAAAGGCAGTGTGTGTTTACATGATGATGCAAAAATAAAATTTAAAAAACCTTAAATTGTGTTAAATGAATTGTTTGAAAAGAGTTTCTTCGCTGAATGTGTAAAATTTCTGCAGGGATAAATATGAAGAACACATGAATATACAGGATAGGCTAGAACGTCAATTATTTAACTGAACATGAGACAATGCATTCAAGGAAAAGGATCCCAAAACTAGCGAACAATTATTGATGCAGATTGAATGTCTTCAAGCACACTACTTATCAATATTGAGTAGTGTAAAACTGTAGGCATAAAACCTTCCTATAAAATTATAAAAGATGACAGAAAAATAGTTAGAAGAAACATAAAAATAATAGTGAAAGTAATAAGGATAACATAAGGAACACATAATATAAAGCGTCACCTCTTTTACCATATAAGGAGAGGATATCTGAAGCCCTACTCATGATTCTTAATAAAACAGGAATTCAGTCGGCATTTAAACCGAGAAATTCACTCAGTTAGGACAGGCTCTGTAGGTTGAAGGACACTGTTGGTTTACTCAATTAAATGAAATAATATAACTTACAAAATACCCTGCAATGACTGTGAGTTAAGTCAGTTACAAATATCAATCTGACGAGTATATCGGGATAGTCAGATTGGCGGAACATAAGAATTTAGCTAAGGTAAGAATGGTTGACCGTTTTCGTGATGATAAGTAATTTTAAAAAAAGCTCAGCAATTGCACTGCATGCATTAACACACAACCACACAATAGGGTGCTTGGGGTAGAGTCAAAATTCTAAGAAGTAATATAGGTAGGTGGAGACAGAGAGAGAGGTCGATTGATGAATCTTCGTTCATCGAATAGTCTACACCCAACACATCCAATAGGAGTGACTCATCACTCATACCAGAAATATGGAAAATACTACTACCAACCAAGTCAAGCGATGAAAAATAATGGAATTATATAAACGAAGTTAGAAAGCTGTGTGAGTAACTTGATGTGGTTATGAGTGGCAATAAATTGTGCTCTAAAAGTGGTCTTCTGTAAATACTACTTACTGCATAACACTGTGAGACTTTATCAGAATAAACTCTTATCCATAATGGAATTATACTCTACCACAGTGCCCAAGTTCCATACTTGTACCAAGGATAATTTTGTCTCTTACAAACACTACAAATCCAATGAAGTGCATATTCTGCATGTTACTCCTTCCTAGCATCTGAATGACATCGTGATATCCAGACATTCACTTAAAAACAAAGGCTAATTAACCCACTGGCTAAATCAACACCAACTTCTGTTACATTAGTTTGTTATTCGCAGACTGATGAAGAAAATGCTGTTGGGAGACAGTGAGTGCTTCGCAACAAATAAACACCTCGGATAATGTGTAATGAAGTAGTATGCTTGAATTTTGGACTCATTTAATCGAGTTTATTGAGTTTTAAAAATTTATTGGATATCACTTCACTCTACTATACATATTTTGAAGTATAAGCTCTTTATTAATTTATTCCTCAGCGAAGGTTTCTTCACTTAACACTCCGCCTCTCTAGTACAAGTCAATTATAGAAAGTTGACTAACCACGTATTCTATATAAATACGTAATGAGAATAAATCCGGGTAATTTGGTTTTATAATATATAAATTTGACCGAGACTATTATCGAGTATTATTATTATTATTGTTCCCTTGAGTTCCTAGTGGAACACAAGGCTTCAACTACACGTCTCCACTCGCTTCTGTCTTTTACTGTACTTTTCACTTGCATCCATGTTAGTCCACACTGTTTCAGCTCCTCTTCACACGATCTTCTCCATGTCACCCTTGCACGTCTAACCCGCCACTTCCCTTTCGGGTTCCACTCGAGCACTGACCTGACGCGCGATGTCACCCAACCGCCTCCTCAGCCAGTGTCCAATCCATCTCCACTTTCTCCTGCATATTTGTTGAGCGATTAGTTCTTGTTTTGTTTGTTTGTTATCATAGTTTCTTGTTGGTGATTCTTTCCGGCCATCTGATCTTCAGTATAGAGCCAGCGAAGACAGTTGTTGATAAATGTCTGCAACAGGCTGTTGGAAATATTCTTTGTGACCCGCCGTCAAGTTTCTGATCCATATAGAAGAACTGACTGACTTGACGTCGTTTGTATTGAAAATCCGAATCACTTTGTTGTTGATGCAGGCTGAGTGACAGCGGAAGATTTCCAGATTGGTTTCAGGTTGATGAATGTGTTTCTCGCCTTCCCGATTCTCGATTTGACATCCTCGTCCGTTCCTCGTGTAGTTGAGACAATGCTCCTTAGATGAGTGAATCAAGTAACCTCTTCCAAATCCCTCCCGTTGATGGTGATTGACGCTGGATGTTGCTGCTGTTGTTATTGTTGTTGTTGATTGGTTATTTTCATAACCTCCGTTTTGTCTATGTTCACCTGGAGTCCTGTCTTTGCTGCCAGCCTCTTCGACCAGTTTGTCGGTTTTCGCTTGTAAGTCTTCGATTTTGTGTGACATCAAGCAGAATTATATCAATTATATCAGAGCCTTTCATAACTAAACATTATGTATTTTCTTCAAAAGAATGGTTGCTGAACGAAGAATACTCTTTTCGATAACCTACTCTTCACCAGGTTCTACAGTTATATATACACAATAGTGAATGAATGAATTAGTGTTATTAACAACATGAATGTTGTTTAAATAACATTGAATCAATAATAATAACATCAATGCATCACAGCTCAGTAACATCAACATAACAATAAACTGAATGTCAGAAATATTAGGAAAGATAATAATAATAATACAATTTTTTATGAATTTACAGTCTCCACTGAAGGCTGGCCAGTACAGTAGCAGTGGCTGGACTTACTTCTTGTGCACACAAAGCACTGGTTGTTTCAGGTGAATCGCGATAGCCTCCGCTGTTTGGAGTATGCGGTATCCAGATGTTTTTGGTAATTTATTTGAAACTTCAGAGCCCTAGTTTGACGCTCCGTGCTCCACTGGGAATGATGATTTGTTTCTTAAAATAATTAATATTCGAAATGAAATGGTCAAAGTCATCCGGCAGAATTACAGCATTGTGTCACTTGAATTCGATTGCTTCCACTACACAAATCTAACAGATGGAGTTCTAATAAAACTAAGAATTTTTGGGTGGAACCGTTGCTAAACGTTTTCGATGTTATTTTGTCCTCTGAGATGAGTGCTTAAACTGTGAAGCTTTCACAGTAAATCCGAATAGCATCTTCAGTTAATGCTGAAGAAATCATCTTTCAGAAATCTCCATGGGTGAAATATTTGTCTCTCTTGTTGACAGAGGCTGGGATTAGTAGTTCCTAGCTATTTCTCCGTGAATAAATGTGCCTGTAATGATATAAATCCCGTTGTTTACTCATTATTCGACCTTTTCTTAAAGTGACTTCCTGTTGATTCACTGATGAATTTCATTTATATCCACAGGTTTATTAACTAAGAATTTCTCTGAGTGCCAGGCTTCTAGGCATTCGCTGGAATTCTTTCTGTTTCATCTGTAGAAGATTTTCACACTGTCCTAGTTGAAGTCGTTTCTTTAGTGAACCACGCAAACTGATGTGAATAAGTGTATGGTGGACCTATGGATACCTAGTTTATGCTCACTTATGAGAAGATGAAAGAGACGTCTGATTTGGCCAGTATAGTGTTTTTCGCAGTTCACACAATCTTTTTTATGGATGACATTGACTTTGCCTTCCTTTGTTATCGAGTATTTCCGTTTACATAGTATTGATTACAGAGAACATGTCGGTTTGTGAAGGAACAATAACTAACTCAACTTGAGCTTAGACTTATCAGCAAGGAATTTTCAAAAAAGCCTTAATTTTAACCTCCATCTAGGCTTCATTTTTGTATTGAAACGCCACTTAGAATTATTACTCATAGCCTGTTTCTGGGTAGTGATCAAATTATGTCAATCAAGAATTTAATATATCCATCAAACTAGGAAACTAACCATTGTATTGAACCTGTTTTTTGAGGTTTCGGCAGCAGCAGGGTTACTAGTCCCATGCCCAGCCGTCCTTCATTTTCAAGCTTAGGATATGCTGGTAATGAGCTCTGATATGAGTAAAGTCATTGAAATGAGTTCTCAGGAACCTCCAATTAAATTAACTTCCATGCTATAAGTATAAAACTTGAGCACTGTGGTAGAGTATAACTAGATTATAGATAAGATTTTATTTTGATAAATCACACAGTGTTTGTTATACAGTAAGTAATATTAACTGATGACCACAGCCCGAGCACAAACTATTGCCACTCACAATCATATCAAGGAACTACTCTCACAACTTTCTTGCTTCATTTATATACATGAGTAAAAATTGATGACTAGACATTTGGATAAAATCAGTAATACAAGATAACGCACATACAGAAATCATATTAGCGTTATCAATCAAATACAATCAGATGGGGATTAAGATGTTGCTATAGTTAAATAAATAAGTAACTTGTAAGAGTGATAGAATGTATGTGAGGTGAAATAGAATTTTAAGATTATTTATTATCCTCCTCTGATTTGACTGACTGATGGTAATAATATCTCCCATATCTCTGGCATTTGCGTTGAGTCACTTCTGTTGCATGTGTTGTGTTGGGTGTAGACTGGATGAATCAGTCAGGATTCAGTAATCAATCTCTCTCTCTCCACTTACATAGATTACTTTTTAGAACTTTAACCCTCTCCCACCCTATTGTGCAGTTGTGTGTTAATGCATGCAGTGCACTTGCTGAGCTTTTTTCTGAATTACTTATCATCACGGAAATGGTCAATCATTCTTACCTTGGCTAAATTCTTTTGTTCTAACGATCTGACTACTCCTGATCCACTAGTTTGACCTATGTAGTTAACTTAACTCACAGTCATTGCAAGGTATTTTGTAAATTATATTATTTTGTCTAATTGGGTCAGCCGGTAAGGTCATTTAGCCTACAGAGCTTGTCCGACCTGAGTGAGCTTGTGGGTTTGAATGCCACCCTAAATCCTGCTTCAATGAGAATCCTACGTAGGGCCTCAGATGTCCCCTTCCTATATGGTATAACAGTGTACGCCTTATATTCTCTGTTATTTATGTATGTATGTACTCATGTATATAAATGAAGTAAAACGTTGTGTGAGTAGCGACTTGATATGATTATGAGTGACAATAGTTTGTGCTCGAAATGTGGCCATCAGTAAATATTCATGGATAACACTGTGTGATTTATCAAAATAAAAATCTGATCTATAATGGAGTAACTTTCATGCTCTTTGGCATTCGTCAGGAAAGAATATCTACAAGCTTTTCTGTAAAAAAACGGTTGCAACCTTAAGGTATTTAAAGAATCTGGAATTCGCAATCTTTTTCACAGATGACCACTTTAATACTGTTTTATTAATGATACGGTGGTTTTGTTGATTTTTGTATTTTTGTGTGTGGTTATTTCACAACAGACGCTATTATTTCTAAAATAACAAACTATACTACTACAAGACACATAAGTAGCCAGGTATTATTCGATAAATAAGTGGTAGCAAAAACAAGATTCGGTCGATGGTAGTAAGCATTTGAATACCTGCACCTCAGTGAGTGGCTGTGTTCCCACTGAACTCGACACCACCGTTTCCAGAAGCAACGTTGTAAACACTAGGCTTTTCAGCCACAAACGCTGCATCTTGTACAGCGGTATCAATGCTTATTTACCTAGACTTTTTTTAAAACGTCCTGTTGGTCGACCAACCAGATAACATTGTCAGACCAATCATATAATGATCAGACATGCTAACAAAAACTGAGGATTTCTGTCCGACAAAATATTAACTGATGAGAAGTTCCAATATAAAAAGGGATGTTCATATAAGATCAACATTTTGTCACTGCGGTGAAATAAATGGGAAAAATATTTTAAAAAATATATTTGTCCTACCATGCCATGTTGGAGATCGGTGTGAATTACTTCTATTGACATTTTTCGCCGTTGTGATTTGGATAAACACCATTTACGTAAGTTATTTGTTTTCGCTATGTGAAACTCGAGTAGTCGATTTTCAGGTGATGACCCCCAGGGGCTGGAATCCCACACCACCTCTACCTCAGCATGAACAACCAGCTGATAGCACCAGGCCTTAAACTACAATTGGGGCACGAAGCCTTGTGCATTAAAAATCTGCTTAGAGGAGCTTAGTTGTAAAAAAAACTAACAACACTTTTGTTCGCTCACCAGTATAATTGTTGAAAGACTGCTTATACGTTAATAACTTGGTCTTTATTGCAAAATGTTTTTAAACCAGTCTATTCATCAGTACATCTTCACAAGAAGCGTAAGGTGTGTTTCAATGTATTGACAAAATTTCAGAAAGGAATTGACTGGATAAATTTTACTGAAGTATAAAGATAACTTTTATTCCATATTTCTCTTGTCTTATCTTATCTACTTTTTCCCTTCTTTCGAAAAAAACAGACAGCTTTCGAAGAACTTCGACCATTTCCTAAACCACAGTTGATTGCAGCTCGTCGAGCATATCATTATGATATACTAAGCAAGAAAATGTTTGAAAAGAAAGGCTATTGGCAAAATGTTATGAAGGAATCGGCTGATGAATACGCTACTGATAATGGAGTAGGTTTTACATTTTTTTTTAGCTCATGATTCAGTGGTATATATTTCATTTCATTTTAATGTATCTGAAATTAATGTCGTCTTCATATTACTTTTAAGCATTTAATTTCCACAATTATTTGGTCGATGGTAGGTAGTAGTGGATTCCAGGATATCCATTTTGTCCTATTTTGATACTCGTCACTTGATCGACCTCCATGCCCAGTTAGTATTGATGAATCAACCAAGACTGTAAACCAGGATTCTTCACGTGGATCTTCGGGTACTGTCAAAGCGTCTGTGTTAGGCGCCGACATGTCAGCACAGACTGATCATTTCTCTCCAATATAACAATCACTTGGAAAAACAAACATTTTCGAATTTCACCCACTCGGTTGAACTCATCAATAATCGTAATAATTTTATTTTTAATTGTCACATGTTTCCACTTCCATCCCCTCTTTCCAAACATTCCATAATCGTACTTATAAATAAATTCCTTTTGTTCAATTATTAACTAACTATAGTTTGGTTTGTAAGGGTTAGTTACGTTTTTACGAGTTGATCACGGATTGATATCAGTAAGAGAACCATTGAAAACCAGGGAGTACTGGACAGCTGCTGTTTCATCCTAGTTTGGGAATCACCGACAGTACGCACCCACTGGGATTCGAACCCAGGACCTTCCGGTTACAAGGCAAGCCAGCTCGTATACTATTCAGCCACTGGGACCCGATTCAATGGTTCATGAATTCTAACTTCTACCAATTCGTGATTTAGCGCGACCCCAAACAGTGTCGTTGGTGGGACATCCATCCACACACATGACATCTAATTGGACCTCACTGGTCATGACTTCTCACTAGAACTCCAGGAAACTCCATCCTGTAGCAAGTCACTAACGAGCATCAGATTAATTTTCTATAGTTTGGTTTGTAAGGGTTAGTTATGTTTTACGAGTTGACCAGTGAGGTCCAATTAGATGTCACGTGTGTGGATGGATGTCCCACCAACGACAATGGTTGGGGTCGCACTAAATCACGAATTGGTAGAAGTTAGAATTCTTGAGCCATTGAATCGTGTCCCAGTGGCTGAATGGTATACGAGCTTGCCTTGTAACCGGAAGGTCCTGGGTACTGTCGATGATTCCCAAACTAGGATGAAACAGCAGCTGTCCAGTACTCCAGGGCTGGTTTTCAATGGTTCTCTAACTGATATCAATCCGTGATCAACTCGTAAAAAATATTGACTAACTAACTAACTAAATAACTTGTATTCACACCTCTTTGCTAAGAATCACTGAATCACCATTTAGTTGAAAGAATTTTCAAGTATGCTCTAGTACTTACATCTATAAGAACATGTCATTTTTGAGCTGTTTAGCACTTGAGAAAAGCGGCGAATTATACACCATGAGCTCTTATTTATCTTGTACACATATTCGTTGTTGCTTTTCCTAAAGTAAACAAGGAAATTGAGTGTATGAAATAATAATGTAACAACAGAAGGCAAGACAAGGAAGCCAAAGTTAATATTCGTTAACCAATCAGTCGCTGAACGTGTGATTTTAGTTTACATTAAACGACATCAAATAGAATGTCCATATATATATATATATTCCGTAGGCAGACACTGTCTGTACCACACCACCAGAATAACTTCTAAGTGTCTTCTTGAATTATAGACGATTTCGAGAAGCCTTTTAGTCACAACCTGTTATCCGACATCCTGGAAACCCATCTGGTAGTGAGTAACTAAAGAACAGTGTAGAGAAGTGAATTCTACAATCTAAATCACCCATCCGCTTAGTATTTTTTTCATTCCTTCACGTCCCCAACGGAATATGTGCCTTCAGGCTAGAGGCTTGAAGTTTCCGTAGCAGTGTTTATTTTTACAGGGGGGTGGTTGCTAGCCAGCCTCATGCCCAACCTTTCCTCTTTACCAACTTTATTTCTGGCTTAGCGAGGTAAAGGAGTGCATTGGTGGCCGGGGATCGAACCCAGAACCATATGCATGGTCGGCGAGCGTTCTAACCGCTGTGCCACCCGACGTGAATGCTTCTAAAATTTATAAATTATGTTTTCTTCTCGATAACCTCATATAATATACTTAAGTATTTTTGTTATTTCCGATTATTTTCAGCATCGAATTATTCAACGTAAACGATCGAACAAAGAAAGTCGCGCCGTTATTCAAGCTATCACATTTTATGATGATGGTATGATTTACATTTTTTTTAGAAGAAATATCGGATCAATTTAAGTAGTAATTACTATCACAAGCTGGATCTTCTCCCCTCTACAGTCTATAATCTTTCCTTCTATAGATGGTCTGACAAAGTTTTAATTTATCAGTCCACAAAACGTCTCGATGACTTGTAGTGTCAAGAAGTTATTTTAAGTTGAACAAGGATGGAATACAGTTTTATGAGCAGAAGAAGTAAAGCTTCTACTTGAGGTTTCACTTGATGTTATCACCCGTCAAATGTAATAGGATGCAGTGCTTCTAAGGAGTTAGACGGTCGAATACACTTCCGTATTATCAAGTGTTGGTTTTTTAAGGATTTAGTTTGATTGGATGGAGGATTTCATCATGAGTTGACATCAGAGAACCATTAGAAAACCTGCAGGGAGTACTGGAAAGTCGGCTGTTTCGTCAGCCTAGTTCCGGACTGTTCATCACTTTTCACTCACCACACTGGGTTCGAACCCAGCACCTTCTGGTTACAAGGCCAGTGAGCTCGTAGACCATTCATCAGCCACTAGGACCCGATCCAATGGCCAGCCAGTCCATGAATTCTAACTTCTGCCAACTGATGACATAGCGCGACCATTTCGCAACGTCTTCTTCGATGAGTTACTGCCTCACCTTCAACCTGCTGTACCCTACTGGTCACGGCTTCCCACTAGAATCCTAGGTAACTAACTGCCTGAATAGGGACAGTCGCTAGTGAGCATCAGATTAATTTTCAAGTGTTGTAACAAGAAGGTCCTGGGTTCGAACCCCAGTGGGTGCGTACTGCTGAAGAGTCCAAAACTAGGAAGAAACAGCTGTCCAGTACTTCCACATTAGATAAGTTTTTACGTGATATAACAAACCGCGACGCAGTATTAATAACTGGATGATGTTTCAAGCGCAATTTGTTGCCCATAGTCATATCCACTTACTCACAAGGCTTTCTAATTTACTTTATGTATGTATTTATATATGTTTCCCTTCCCCTCGTTGTATGTTGCAATTCTGCATATCTCCGGTATAGGCGTTACGTCATTTCGATGGCAAGCGCTCAGTGTTAACTCGATAAACAAAGATTCAGTGATTAACCTCTTTTGCCACTTAAATATATTGATTTTTAGTGATTCTTTCCTGTTATTGAATATACGGATAACTTGAATAATTTTGTACTCAACATCTGCCCTTTAATTGATTGGCTGCTAATTAAATCTCAGTGCTTAAACAAAAGTCGATTTCGATTTATACTTGTTGTCATCACTTTTGAAACTGACACTGGTGAGAGGTAAGACTTCCATCACAGAGAATATGCACTCAAATTAATCGTCATAAAATGAAATCACACCTATGTGGAGTGTCCACTGAAGTCTGAAGGCATGATAGGACTGCATGTTTTTGACCATGGAAGTCTTCGTTCATTTACTCATACCATATTCATATGAAACAACGTGTTAACTATGTTGAGACTAAGCTTCGAGTGAGTTACGCAGGGTAAACTGATCATTTCAGTTGTAAACGTAGATATGATGGAGAAGATTTGTAGCTCAGGTGGATGATTTTGATGTGGTTGTGTTATCTGAGTTGGATAGTTTATTTGTGAAGCTTTCATTACCCCACCACTAGGCAACATCTTCAGCACGCATACTTCAATTTGTTAAAGTGACCTTTTAGATTTCTGCACGAGTTGACTAGTTGTCTCTCCTGATGGGTGAACTTGAACATGATTGCTTGTTTTTGTGTGTTTCCACACCTTCTAGGTTACTTGTGGTATTGGCACTGATTGTTTCCTTCACCTGAAGTTTGACCTTTTGTGAGTATGAGATTTCCTTCTTATCGGTTGGTAAATTTTGTCTATGTCAATGTATCTATTCATTGACAATTCACTGGAAAACCATGCGGGCTTCTGAAAATTCTCTGACATTCTTGCTGTTTCCTTTGTCTAATATTTGAAAGTTGGTTGTCCTAGTCGAACTGGTGTCTGTGGTTGTCTGTATGAAGTGTTATGAGAGAGTGTATGTCCCCTTCATCTTCGTATCCATGATCACAAGCTAGCCATCAAAAGACATGACACCCACTCCCTCTCTCATATTAATACACACAGACAACCACGGACATCAATTCGACTGGGACAACCAACACTCAAATATTAGACAGAGGAAACACCAAGAATGTTAGAGTATTTTCACAAGCCCCCTGATATTCCAGGGAATCGTCAATCAATAGACACATCGAGATAGACAAAATTTACCAACCGATAAGAAGAAATCTCACAATCAAAGGGTCAAAGTGGAAGTCAAGGAAACAATCGGTTCCAATACAAGTAGCCTAGTGTGTGTGAAATCTAAAAGATCACTTCAACAAATTGAAGTATGAGCTATAGATGTTACCTAGTTGTGGGGCAATGAAAGCTTCGGAAATTAACTATGCACCTCGGAAAACACAACCACATCAGTTGTAGACTTTTACAGTCTATGGAAGACATGCTTAACAATTGGTGTCATGTGGAAAGAACATAGTCGTGAAAGAGTTAGGAGAGATGTATAATTAGGCCTTGATGTTAATGATTGTTTGTCTGAGTCACAAAGTTGTACACTAATCGATCTGTTTGTCTGTGAGACTGCCTTGTATGTGATACTACTGACAGTGAATTCTCAGAAAGAAAGAACTGTGAACTTTCTCCACAGTTCTATAAGTTTGTAAACCATTTCCTGCTCGTCAACACTAACATGAGCAGCACAAAGGTAATGTATCGTATGGTGGAAACTTGATGGGATTTTATACCGACTAGTTTTAGAATTTTATGTAGGATATGTGAAAGTACTACTTTATATATACTGGAGTGTTCAATAAGTCAGATGAAAATGTATAAACACATATCACATATGTCACAGTTGAGTAATATGTATCAATATTTTCATGTACTCATCGAAGAAAGAGAAATACGTATGCATACTAAATACATGCGTAAAACTTCGGCAATGTGGTAGTGTGTGTATGTAATTCCGTATTGATTTTTTTATTACATATATCACACACAGTGAAACAGTATTACTGTTTACTGGATGACAAGGTTTCCAACACAATTTATTACTGTTCATAATCATATCACCAAATGTATCCACACAACTTCAAAACTTGATTTTTATAGTTTTCTTTATTTCTGACTATTTGTCATTGTGGGGCAGTAGAATTTTCCAGTTGTCTGCCTGGACAGGTGTTGAATCATTCCTATTACATGCATTTGCAGTTGATCCGATAAACGAAGGCTCAGTCAGTTATCAATCTCTCCCTGCATCCTTTGATATTAGATTCTAAAACTGTCATCTTATCCCATCCATCCTATTGTATGGTTGTGTGTAATTGCATGTAGTTCTATAGCTGAACTAATACAGGAAGTGAGGCATATAAGAGAAACTGTGAAACCCGATAATTACAGCGATAAATTAATCAGAAAGTATATAGGGAAGTGTAAAAATAAAATAAATAATAATATTAATGTCGAAATACATGTAAAATATGCGCAGGATAATGACAACAGCAGCGTTAAAGAATATAAATTATCAGTAGAACCTCCCTACATAGAAGCAACCTCGTAAACCTTACGCAGAATTCTTAACAAGACAGACAGGAATAAAAGTGGCTGGCATTCAAACCATCTACAAACTCAATTAGAAACACGCTTTGTCGGTTAAAGAATCCAGTGGAACGACCCATTAAACAAAACAGTTTAGTTTCTCTAACCTCCCGTCTGCAATGATTGTCAGGTCAACTACATAGGTCAAAATAGTAGAACAGGGCAGTCAGACTAGCCAACCATAAAAACCTAGCAGCCAAATCTAGATTAGTTGATCCGAATAAGATAAGAAATCTAGAGAATAGTTCAGCCGTAGATAGCACTTACTACATGCAATTACACACAACCATACCATAGGATGGATGGGATAGGATGACAGTTTTAAAATCTAATGTCATAGGTTGGAGGGAAGGAGAGATTGATAACAGAAGCTCTGTTTATCGAATCAACTGCAAATACATGTAATAGGAATGATTCATCACCCCTCCAACCGGACATCTGGAAAATTCTACTGCCCGAACGAATAAAGAAAACTCTAAAACTGAAGTTTTCGACGTTGTTTGGATAAACTTGGTGGTATGATTATGAACAATGTGGTAAATTGTGTTGGAAACCTTGTCATCCAGTTATAACAGCAATACTGCTTGACTGTGTATGATATCTAATAAACAAATTAATGTGGAATTTTATTCATACTTCTTGGACGTAGACGGCAAGGCGTACCCTATGAGTGACCAGATATCACTAATAACTCATTTGCTGATCCCATACATACTAAGCTTAATGCCAGCTGATCTTAGTGTACACAGAAAATGTTAGTTGAGGATTCGAAATGTGGTTGACCTTTGCCGGGAAGAATTTCTATTCCTTCTTTCATATTAACTGTCTCTTAGACAAAGCAATCAGAAGACACAATTTGTCTGAATCGAGTAATCTATTTGCGCGCAGCACACATTTCGAACAATCTGATCACACACACAGACTTGTCACAGTAATATATATGAAATTAATAAAGAGTGAAGAAGTGAGAAAATAAATTTAGGTCAAGTTAAAAGGACTACATTGAAGGTCAAATTAACAATGAAGATCACTAAACCAAATAACAGAAATAATAGTACATCTACCCTGACTACTGTCAAAACAAAGTTTACTAAGAAAGGGTTAGTATGATGACAAATTGTTTCTTTGATCGCACTTTTTTTCCTTCACGTTCCCTAGTGGAACGTAGGGCTTCAAGCTGGTGGCTTGAATTTTCGGTAGCGTGCTTATTTTACAAGATGGGGTTGCAAGCCAGCCTCATGCCCAACCTTTCCTCTTCACCAGTATTATTTCTGACTTAGCGAGGTCTGGGAGTGCGTCGGCCGGGAATCGAACCCCGGACCATGTGCATGATGGCGAGCGTCCTAACTGCT